TGTCTTTGTAGCCCAGGCTGGCCTCAAACTCAGGGTGATCCTCCTGTCTCAGCCTCTAGAGTGCTGGAACTACAAGTGTGCAGCACCATGCCCAGCTCCTGGCACTTTCTGAAGCAGTTCTGGACATCTTCTTTACAAAGTGTCTTTTATGAGGCTTGATATCAAAAAATACAGTGAATGCTGCTGCTGTGTGTGCCACCTAATGGAAAGGCAGGTGAGTAAAAGCATGGTGGTGTGTCCTTGTTAATGGCTGTTCTGGCACCATGTGACTTTTGGCTCTTCTCCAAAATCAAAACAACCTCAGGACACTGAAGCAGGACAGCACAACTGAAGACATGCAGCAGTCACAATTGTCAAGAAGCAGGACCCTCGGGACAGCCTCCGAGGTCTAAAGACAGAACTGTGTGTGCACCTGGCAGCTGGGGCTGGTAGAGAGAGAATGCACATCAGGTGGACGCTCTGGGAGCTGTCCCTTTCCTGCCTGTTACCTGAGAACTGCCACCAGAGGGCAGCAAAGGCCACACTGTCACATCTGTATGCTGAACTCAGGGCAGCCAGGAGGACTGAGCCAGAAGCAAGGGTCTTGGGCACTGCCTCCAGGAGCCTACATGGGACGCCCTAAGACAGCATGATGAGCACCACGGTGGGGCCCTAGAAGTCACTTGCACACCAATGCAAGGCGGGCGGGGACCAGGAGCTAGCACTCAGGAACAAGAGGGATGGGCAGAGGGGTCTGGGCCAGAGGCTTGTGGGTAGGCTGCGGGCACAGGAGGCACCGAGTGCAGCACCTCAAGGCCCCCAATGCTCCCCCTCTTCCATCTCCAAAGCATCCTGGGCACAGAAACCTCAGGTTGCCATGATATTTCCAGACAATATCAGTGCGGAGACCTCCACAACCCCCTCTGCACAGCCAGCAATGTGACATCAGCGTCTCACATGAAAGGAACAGCCATGGCCCCACCTAGCTGCCATCACCCTCCAGCAGCAGCTAGAACCTGGAGAAACTGAGTCCCACCAGGGCCTGGGACCTACAGGGTACAAGATGCAAATGGGCCTGGCGGGCTGAGATCACAGGGGTGCCAAGGGCTGGCCAGGGTGATCCAGAGCTGGTGGAGCCCAGGGTCCTCTCAGACTTGGGTGTGACTTGGAGCTCAGGGTGTCAGAGCCTAGACTGAGCCACTCCCCAGGCTCCTGGCATGCAGGGACAGGAACTGAGGATCAGGCTGTGTGCTGGTTTCTTACCTCTTACATAAACTATGCCAAGCAAGAAAATGAGCAAGGGTAATGAAGGAAAATGCTCACAATCATGTTAAAAGCAAATGCTAGTGATTTGGAAGGCTGAGGCAGGAGGATCACAAGTAACAGCCCAGCCAAGACAACTTAATGACTTAGCAAGACTCAAAATAAAGCAAAACGGGCTGGGAATATAGCTCAGTGCAAAAGTGCTGGGTTCAGTCCTCACTACACACACACACACACACACACACACACACACACACACACACACACACAAATTTGCCATTCAAACCCAAGGCTTCGTCTTCAGAGCCTGTTCTTAAAATTGCGCTTCCATTTTATTGCTAGATACAAGGTGCAGAGAGAACACCCAGCACCAAGGCAGACCAGCTCTGGGGTCCCAGTGGTCCCTGGGGTCTCTCCAAGAGAAGCAATGTGCCCTCTCAGGTTCCTCATCACGAGAGCCTCTGGCAGCCCAAGGGACCAAGTCTCAGGATCAGCACCAGCGTCTCTTCAGTGGCACTGTGGGGTGTCACTGCAAGGAGGTCCCCAGGCAACAAGCAACTCTGTCGCTCATTTTAATAGCCTGCCAAAAGGAGCAATTGCAACTCTGTGAGGTACTGGGGGTTTGGTGGTGAACTGTGATCTCAAGGCCAGCTCTTAAACCCAGATACCTCTATACCCAAACTCAGGTAACAATTTTGGGTCATTATATACAGGCAGACCTCCTAAAGTTCTGATTTTTCCTGAGGGAAGTGTGTGCTTGCATGTGTGAACTGTCAGCACCGACCTCATCATTTTGGCAGTAGTGTACCTTGGTTCATGCACTTGATTCTCCCCACGATTTTGGTCACAAACCAAACTGGATGGGAACCCAATCAAATTTTCCCATAAGGTCAACAGTAAACCTAACCATTGGATTTGATTTGGTTCTTCCCACAACAGAATACAGGTCCGAGAACTTTGTGCTCCCAGGTGATCAACCTCTTTAGCTCTCCTCACTCCTAACCTGTCTCCCAAGGCGCCTCTTGCTCGTTACAGGGCAGAGTAACACTGCAGTCCCAGAGCACAGCTCTCCTCCTGGGTGTTGCTCTCCCCTGAGTCAGGTCAGTCATTTGGCTGTCACCTCTGCTGCCCTGTGCTGCAGAGATCCCAAAGCAAGGCTGGCCAGGAGTTAGTGGGTTGGCCAGCCTCCTCTTCTCCCACTCGGTTTATGCAATCTAAAGGGACCCAGGCTCACAGTTCCTCCGTCCTCCTGTGTACAGTGAGGCTGAGCAAGCGTTAGCATGGGCTGGGGCCTATTCTAAAAGTAGGAAGTTTGTGTCCCGATTTTTTCTTCAAGATTGTTGGGCTGTCCAATTTGTGATTTTGTATAAATGTTTTTATTCCCCACCCCCACTCCTGGGGGGAAAAGCCACTGAGATTTTGATAGGGGTTGAACACCACCTTTAGATTGCTTTGAGTAATAATGCTATCTTGACATTACTGTCTTCCACACTATAATCAGGGTGTCTTCCCACTTGTTTTAATTTCTTCCATTGGTGTTTTACAGTTTTCAGTGTCCAAGTCTTTAACCTTTTGAATTTTTATTTCTAAGTACTGCATTCTTTTTTTTTTGCTTTTTTTAAAGATTGTTCATTATAGAAAAACTCTTCAGTGTTGATATTGCAGCCTGCAACTTTACTGAACTCATTAGTAGTTCTAATAGGTTTTTCTGTGACATCTTCGGTTTTCTATATACCAAAGATCATGCTGCCTATGAAACATTCATCAAGTTTCACATCTCAATCATTTATTTTCTAGGAGTCACTAGCAATGCCTTTTCAAATCCACTGGGCTTTTTTAGTTTCTCTGTTCATGTTTTCAAGCTGTCTGCATGGCTCCCTTCCTGGTTCTGTTTGCTTGGTCACAATCCCCATCTCCTTTGAGAATTGGTACCCTGGGATGAAGACAGTTGCACCAAAGACCTGCAACTGCTCCTGCAGGCTCCTGGCTCAGGGTCTGGGTGGGAGTGTTCAGGTACCATCTGTGGTGAGGAGCTGGTGCCACAGCTCCAAGTGTTGAGGCAGTGGCCAGGCCTGGTCCATTCACACTCAGCTGGGGCGCCCATCTCCTCCGCTCCCTCGTGTCCTGCTAGCTCACGGACTTACTGTTCATGCCTGCTCTCCTATCTAACCTCAGCACTTTCTATTTTCACAATGAGGCTGGGATCAGGTTCCTACCTTCTATTGAAGACAGCAACCTCTCCCTGGGCCTGGAAGTCTAGCATCCTCAAGGACCTCATTTCACCCAAATTGTCACTGCACTGGCATCTGTCACTGAAGTACCCTGGGGCCACTATGTCAACCTCTTAAGAAGGGAACTCAGCTTACATACCTTACTCAAATGGCAGCCTCACTCCACTCTTCAATTCTCTCTGCTGCCTTTACGTTCCTTCTTTAGATCAACGTTGCTGTTCTTGCTTCCCCTAGCGTACAATTTTTGGTGTGACCAAAGTGAAATTTCCCTCTGGAAAGGTGCCTTTCCAAGACTCCACCCAAAGGGCTGTCTCCTGAACTTCTCACCAAGATGACTCCACGTTCTTCCTCTCACCTTTGTGTCTCCATTCAAGTTCATCTTTCCCAAGTTATTTTACTCCCTCCAAAAACAAAGCTTCCCTCTTTCCCTCAAAACAGGACCTCAGCAGAAAATAATCAGCCTTCTTGAAAACCAGAGATCAGAAAGGCCAGCCCCCATCAGCCTATCCCGCCTCACCCACTTTGCTCAATATCTTCTTGGAAAGGCAGGTGTAGCAAGTTGTGCATCTGCAAACACTGCCATTAGGACATATTTTAAATGTCCAACAGATAAATATTCTTATAGACAATAAACACAGACAGTTGTATTTAATAAGACCTTATTAATATCAGGTCACCACAGAAACTGCCACAGGACAAGTCAGACAGGAAACAGCTAAGGCAGGTGTTGGCCTTTGCTTCAAAGTGTGACACGGTATAGCAATGTCCCCAAAGCCAGGTCTCCTTCCCTTTGCAGACTGATTCCATGGCCTACTGGGCTGGGGGAAAGCCCTGCAGGAGCGGTGCTGGTAAGACACAACCAAGACAAAGCCTGTTGTGAGGACACCACAGGGGACTTCATTGTGTCCACACTCTAACCCATGTGCTCCCAAAACTGCATTCAAGGACTCAAATGTAGAGCTTGTGCAATTAAAGGATGAACACCAAAGCAGATCACAAATGTTTCTAAGAAAACACTTCTGGAAAATGTTGTGGGAACAAGGGAGAGTTTCAGGTGCACACTCTTGTGAGACAGAAGCAGTGGCCACGATGCGACCAGAAGGGTGAGTCACCGCTGGGACTGCACTCAATGGAACGGGGTCTGTGCTGTGCTGAGCAGGACCTAGGCAGGGCTGCACCAGAAGCAGGAGGCGTGTTTGCTGCTTCCCACTGCAGTGCTGCACTCTGTGATGGCCACACTTCCAGGCTGTGTGGACCAGCAACGCCTTCCACCAGGTAAAAGACTAGGAAAGTTTCCCCTAGCATCAAGATGTGATGTGCATGTTCCAATGCGCCATGATGAATACATTTATTATGTATCACAAGCATGTATTTTTTTTAAGTACCTACAAAAGAATGATTATTCAATTCTAAGTTCAAAAGTACATTTATTTAAAATATGGGCAAGATATCAATATAAAAGAAAAGAGTATAAGAAATAAAAATAATCAATGTACAAAACATTGCAAATCTTTAACATCCATAATTTAGATAGCAAGGTCTTTATTTACATCATTTTATTTGTAGCTGAAATTTCATACAGTTTTGTGAAGACATTTAAAAACCTGGAAAATAAATCATAAAACCTAGTGTGGGCTCATAAAGTCATATAATACAAAACATAATTTATGTTTCCTCAGAATAAAATTACACATCTTAATAAGATGCAGCATAGGTATTCCACTGTCTTCCTGCTTTAGTGCCTCGTCCCTAAAGAAGCAGCTGGAAAACAAGCATGCAGTTGGCCGATGGGGAGCCTGGGCTCCTGGCTCAGATCCGGCTCGACGGGAGTGTGGCCATCAGTTAAATTTATATGTGGGCCTGTTGAGGAAAATGGCTTTGAACACAAGAAGTGCAACACTGCACAAAGGCCTGCACCGGGAGCTCCCCATTTTTCAGTCCCATTTGGAACGGCACTGTTTCCTCAGCCGTCACACGGGCTTAATACCCAATACCACCAAAAATAAAATAAAGTAACACAGAGCCCTTCCACATGGACAGGGTCACTCACGCTGACAAGGGGCCATGGTGTCATTCCAGGCCCTGGCCAAAGCTGAGGCCCAGTACCAGCTGGGTCTCCTCTCAGCTAACAGGGCCAATGCACAACCCAGATGGTTCAGTTCCCAGAACATTAGCACCAACACTAGCTCTATATGCCTTCAAACATCCCATGGGCCACAATGGCCAAGCCTCTTTCAGGCTCAGTGTAGAAAAGGCCCCTGAGATATCACAACACTCACAGACCACGCACAAAGCAACACACAAGTAATTCTTTCTCCTGAAAATAAATGCAGAAGGCTCTCACCAACATAAACCTGAGCAGTAGAGAGACCTGGACAAGATGCAGGATCAGCATGCATAAACAGAACATGCTCAAAGCACATCTACACAACCTGGATAGATGGTTCTGTCCTCAGACTCCCCAGCCATTACTCATGGACACACACGAAGCCCACCCAGCTCTGGTCCTGAATGTGCGGTTGTTCCTGCACAAGCACCACCCTGGCCAGCGCCAGCTGCATGGCACCTGGCTGGCTCACAGAGCTGAGACCACCTTTCCTCTATAGGGGTCCTCCCAACAGTCCCCCAAGGTCCTCTGCCTACACCATCTTAAGCCCTTTCAGGCTAAGGGGAACTGTTTGACCAGCGTCATCCACAGAATGAACCAAGTGCATGTGAAGGAGACGGAGTGGACAACTCTGATCTCCTGTCTAAAACAGCATGCGCACTATACAAAGAGAGGTCCAGCTACAGCCCAGGCTGTCACAGCTCCTGCGCAGACACTCAGCCTAATTCCTCTGGGAAGCTCCACCACCTTCCCTGGGGAACCCAGGGTTGAATAGTGGTTTTGCACAAGGATTTGTGAGGCGCATTTTGCTTCACTATGGGCTGCTGGACCCACACTAAAGCAGTATTTCTGATTTTTAATGAAGATTATAAACAACACAAGAAACCTTATGTGTTCCTCCTTGCATGAAAATATAAACAGCCTAAGTCTGATCAAATGTTATCCTAAAGGCTTCTCCTTGTCTGTTATCTACTAGTAAACATTATGATTTATCAGAATACTTCTATTAAGCTGTGTTTTTATTTCCCTGGCCAAGCTCCAGGGCACAGAGAATGCACACAAGCTACATTTCATTTTGAAAACTAAGAAGTCAAAAACTAGTTCATAAAAAGAAATAAATATTTAAAGTATTTATTTTTGCAGTTATTTTCTATTTTATCTAACTGTTGAAACGCTTAAACACCTACATGAGCAGACAGTGCAGATCCTCACCAACTACTCAGTACTAAAACTGACCTCTCAGTGAGCAAGAGACCACGCGTACTTGAGGCCCCTCGAGGTTTTAAAGAAGAAGGGCTGCCAGCAGCACCCATCCCCACAGCAAGCACAGGGGAGGACAAGGCAAGGCTGGCCCATACGGGGCCTGGACCCCCTCCCCACCCCCTGGCCACAGCCTGCTCTGTCAAAGGATATGATTCGTAGTCCATCGTTTGTGTTAGCACTCCAGTTAGAACAAACTCTGCGTTATGAACATCTGAAAGGAACAAGAACCAGAACCGTTAACAAAGACACAAGCATGTGGGCTGTGCTCGTGGCAGGCAGGGCACAGAAAGAGAACTGCATACCTATTCCTCTGGCAAAATACTCTCGGCACAGGTGGAGGTCATTTTCGCAGGATATCACAATGATTTCCGAAAGACTCTAAGGAAGAGGACACATGCTATCAGTGATGACAGACACCCCTGAGCACGACACTGACAGCCACCAGGCGCGGTGCACTGTGTTCCTCACCTTATTCTGCTTATGCTCCACGAGCTTACGGAAAGATGGCTGCTTGGACAGCACCTTCCCGCCTGCACACTCCACAATTGCCTTCATGGTGGACAGGCTTGGGCAGATTCCGGGGGTGATGTAAAAGTATTTTGCCTGAAAGTAAAATGAAAACACAGGTACTATACTTTCAAATGCTTTTAGCCCTGAGATGTTTGATAAAATGTCTAATTTCCTGAAATTATGAACGTAATGTTCTTGTGTCAGGACTCTGCCTAGAGCCCTACGAAGCACCTTTGCATGTGACATAAGAGCTGTGACAATGCAAAGAGATGCAAAGGAAACAGAGTGCTCAGCAAACAAGCGAGCATGTTACACACCCATGTCACAAGTTCCATTCACCCTAAGTTGGCACTGCATTACACCTACTGGCATCTACCAGGCAACAGCCAGACACAGCACCACTCTGGCATAAAAATCATGTCCTTTACTTTCTCTGTATTATTTAGACTCAAACACAGGAGGCAGTAAGAGCAATGCTTAAGATTTAATTCTCTAATGAGCTCATTTCTATGTATACAACAAAATACTGTTTTGCTTTAAGCTGCTCACAGGAAAAAAGCTAAATAAATATTTGAAAAATCAGACTATTTTCAATAAAATTCATGCTAATTCAGTATTCTAAGTCATTTCTAACTCCTAAACTGGCTCCTTAGGAGAACTTCAAAGAAGAGGTTATTGATTTACTTAGCTTTCTGATACAAAAATACTTCCCAACTGTTCTGAGTCTCTCATCTAAATATTTTTAAATCTTTAGGTCTGAATTATGCAAAATTCAATTAACATTTTTCCAATATCTTTTATAGCTGAACACACATTTACTGAGAACAGTGTAAGCAATGTCCTTCAAAGATTTAACAGCAGAAAGTGAACTTTTATGGATTACATTATCCATGAACAGCTCTCTGAATACCTCTGCCTCGAAAAGAATTGCACGTTTGATTCTTGTGCCAGTCATTAAGATCGGTGAAGAACAGGTCCCAGGGTGCACAAGTTCCCTGGAGCAGCTGCTCCCATGGCCCAGAACAGGGAGGGGGTGCTGTGGGTGCAGCAGGGTGACCACCAAGCGCCCAGCTCCTTCAACTGCACCCCTGCAAGGGCATCTGCCTGCCTGGATGTGGCTTTGTCTCTTCAGCCTACCTTAAAGAGTGGAGAAACATGGGCCCGTTTCAAGGACTCTTCCAAGCTGAAAGAAAAAAGCACTTCAGCCTCAGCATCTCGGAGGACGTAGTTCTGCTCATCTGGAAAACACAACGGTGTACATGTCTGAAGTACCGCCCACCCCTCTTGTCTGCCCTCGTTCACATAGTACCTGTTATTTGTGGCTACATTTGCCTGGGCAAATGCTGGGTATTTATGCCTCACCATTACCTTTCATTTACTTCCCCCTGAAAAGGGTCAGACTAAAAAAAAAAGACAGGCAGATGGGTCCTTCTCTTAGACCAGTGGCAATCAACCTGCCAGCGCTGTAAATGGAGACATTACTGAGTGCTCGGAAGGCTCTTGCACACCCACAGCTTTGGCTCATCCTTAACCCAATCCCACACAACCACAAGGTGTCACAACTCTCACCCTGGACCCCAGGCCAGGACTCCACTCCTGATGGCCAGCTTTAAGATATCATACCTGGTGCCATCACACCGAGCAACTCCCCAGTGCCATGGGGCACATCAGCACCAATCAGGCAAGCTTACCAAACTTTCCTATTTATCAAAAACTTGTTCCTCTTAGGTAGATACAAATATGCACCATTTAATTCCCAGCAAAGCAAAGAAAGCGTACAGCAATCAGTGTTTGAAAGACTTCTGAGAATTCTTAAACTGGTTTTCAGTTCTCATGGCAACATTTTAAGAAATATCCAAGTGCCACAAGTTAAATATCATGGGTCCAGGCATGCTGCATCTGTGGCTCGAGTTTAGAGAAGTGTCTCCTGCTATGATGTGGGATCACCACTCAGTCTAACAGACAGCTCCACTAGAATGCACGGCCACCACAAGCACCACACCATGGGGAGCCTGGAGCTGTGTCGGCAAACTGGATCACCAGAGGACACATATTCAAGGGTTTGTGGGCCTGAACTATTTTTACTGCACATTCTTCTCTTTAGAAATGTAAAGTCCAAGGAACAGCTTGCTGCGCCCTGGTCATGAGCAGTAATTACTTCATGACAGAAATACTGAAATTTGTTGACCAACTACTAGAAATGCCAATCGGTTTACTAGTCAGGCAGCATCTGTCCTTGCAATTTTTCTCCTCTCTAAACTGCACTTGTAATCCCATAATCAGCGGTTGTGGCATGTAAGGGATCACCCGTGCACGTGCAGAGCGAGGAGCCTCATCTCTTCAGGGTCACATGCCCAGCCCGCTTCCCGCTTATGCTCCCACCGTGTCCGTGCCTCGGCAGCCTAGTGGGTGATACTCAGCACCGTGCTCTCAGTGGTGAGGAAGCACTGGCATCATGCAGCAGGGTGATTAGGCCCTGTGCTGTCCCAGCACACAACCCTGCCAGGCAGTGGCTCAAAAACAACATCAGACATAAGAAGTGACTCGACATGGGAGTGAGAATCTGGGGTCTTCTTCCCACCAGTGACTTACTCTCCAAGCCTTACCATCCTACACACACAATCCTGCATGCATGTTTGCTTTTGGCTCTTCTATACACAGCAATTTCAACTGTCTGCATCTTGATCTTAATTTCTCAGTAACATCAGTCTACACTAACTGAAATGGTTTGTCTGAAATGTTCTCATTTAGCAAAGCTGACTTAATGACTACCTGAGCCTGAAAAGCAGAAGCCAGGTTAGCTCAGTCAGGAGTGGGGAGCCTACTGAAGGGGATCAGTGTGACCCCACAGGTTGCCCACTTCATGCTCCGCCCCTGGGCAGCTGTATTATCTGCTCTGTGCGTGTGTGTGTGTGTGTGTGTGTGTGTGTGTGTACCATAGGGACACAACAGCCAGGGCACGCCACTGGCAGAACACCATGAACATGTGTGACAGTGCATTAGAGGCTGGCAAAGCACATGCCTGCCCCGTGGCAGGGGTAGCAGAGGAGTTCCATTTGGTGTTAGTACGACTGGAGCAAAAAGACCACGTAAACACAACTGGGAACGCAGGAAAAAGGGTCTCGGCCTGGAACCAGTGGAGGATAGAGGAGACACATGGGAAGCTTCAAGGCTCCTGGCCGAGGGATAGCTGGGGACACCAACCCTATAGGCACAGCTCACAGATTCTATGGAGAAAACAGTCATTTAGAATCTGCGCTCACTCTGGAAACATTGTGTCTGTCACCCTCAGAACTGCCTTCCTTCACATGGTGCTCTGAACACTCCACTTGAGGAATGGACGAAGTCTTTTTTCCACCAGCGAAACTCATAGAAACTACCGGCACATCTGTGTGCACTGCTCTTTCCAAGTAAACAAACCAACTACAATTGTTGTGTCAGGAGATTTCACTTTACAGCCACATTTCCAAATAAGAAAACAACAAAGAGGGATACAGAGCTTATTTCTCCCCTGGTATCATTCAAACTACCAAAACCTTTACATTTCAAGGTAAAATGGAAAGCTATCAGTCTGTCAAAGGAATCCCTTAAACACAAATGAATAATTACCAAGTAGTTTAAAGACAACCCAGATGTGTATGAAAAATCAAGGCATGGGAAAGATGGGGTCCCACCGCCCACTCACCGATGAACTTCTGGCACTTAAAGCACTCCTCCAGCCACTCAGGCGTCACGATGTGCTGCACCACGGAGATGGCCGTCAGAAACTTCACAGTGCGTGTCACCTTGCTGGCGATGAGGTGCGTGCACTTTTGTGCAGACTCGGCAACCTCGCCACCCAGGACATAAAGCTTCTGCAGCCACAAACAGAGGGGAGGGGAGGGAAGGAGCATCAGCAGGACATGACACTGGCAGCCAGGTGCACAGGATCCAAACGCCAAGACACAGGCAGAAGTAGGGACCAGAAGCTACAATGGAATGTACACAAAGCAGGATCAAGATAGGAACCTCCGGGGGGCGGGATTTAGCTCAGTGGTTTTGGTGCCTGCCTCACAAGGGCAAGGACTTAAGTTCGATTCCCAATACCACAAAAAAAAAGGGACAGGAACCTCCAAAGGTGAGGTGAACACACCCAGGCTCTTCCGACAGAACTGGGTTACCAGCTACATTAGCATACTAATTCCATTTTTAAAAAGGACGGCAGAAAAGACTACAACATGGGCATGTAAGAGATGATATAATAGCTGTACCCACAGACAGAAAAGCTGTACATAAATTTGGAGTAAACTACGAATCCAACCTCATATGGGTAACTCAGCTCTTAACCCCTCCCCCAGCAAAATAAAACACCAATGGCAAAATAAAGCCCAGCATCCCTTGTGCTGTTATCTCAAAAAGTGTATTTACAACTCTGTTCCCACTTCTCAACTACTATGTCCCTCAGAATACAAATCTGGACCAACTGTGTTCAGCCCAAGAACCAGAGCTCATGGCCCTTAAAGCTGATTAAAGCCTCTGAATTATTTTGATGCTAGTAAGAAACCGAGCATGAACAGCAGCACAGATCCAGGCAGAAGTCACTGGATGCCTGGTTATGACAAGGAAGAAGTCTGCAAATACTTTGCAGACTTGCACCCTAAAGTTTGTTATAAGACATTTCCAGTTAAGCACTAGTTTACTAAGCAACCAGCATGAAGTAAGTATGATCAGCAAGGAACACAGCTAAACATCCCGAATGTAGACTCCAGCTTCACCTTAATGTACTGCTGAACTTGGCCAGGCTCAAATCCAGTGAAGAGCACAAAAGGTGTCAGCTCCGGAGTCAGCTTTTTAGTGGGAGGTGGTAGATCCTCAATTCTGTAAAATAAAAATGTAACAGTAATGCCTGTATTATTTTCTTCAAATGTTCTTTAGTAAACATGGGACTCAACAGGGGAAAAGCTGCAAGGGCTTTAACTGTGTGGTTTTTTGTTTGTTTGTTTCTTTTGGTACTGGTGATCAAACTCTAGTCCTTGTGCTTGTGAGGCAGGCGGTGGTACCACTGAGCTCAATCCCTAGCCCCTAACCATGTGTAGTTTTATGCTTAAAGAGAAGAGGCAATGGGCTGTCACCCAGAGTTACCCCCGAAGAATCTGAAACATCCAAGGGCAGCATCCACTTAACTTCCGGTCATGATCAACAGTCTCCAATTCTTCATCAACCCTTCTTCCCCCCGACTGATTTTGTTCTTAACCAGGCTTTTAAAAGGAAGAAAATATTATAACTAGTTTTTCTATTTCACTGATTTTGATAGTTTGACTATCATAAGGGCCAGTCTCTCTTTCAGTATTAGGGACTGAACTCAGGGCCTTCACAGTGAGCCACACAACTATCCCCCGCCCCCCGAGTACCAGGCATCCAACTCAGGACCTTGTACTTGTGAGGCAGGCATAGTGCCACTGAACTAAATTCCTGGCCCTGGCCCTTTTTGGTTTTTGAGACAACGACTTGCTAAGTTGCTCAACCAGGATATGGGCTCAAATTTTCAATCCTCCTGCCTCTGCCTCCCAAGTGGGTGGGACTACAGATGTGCACTTCCACATCCTGCCACTATTTTTATACTGAGTTTGTAAAATAATCTTGTGACTCAGCTGCTGCTCCTTGCTGTGACATCACCCTGACTCAAGGACCCCAGAAAGTGCATCCCGGTGCCTCTGCTATCTCCTTCATCCTCATCCTGTCCTCTACCACAGGGACCAGCAAGCTGTTTCACTGAAGCACATGGGAGGTGTTTGAATCAGACCTTCTAGTCTCTTACAGAGTGTGATCAAAACATTTGGTGAATGCTTAAATTTAAAAGTATTTATTACAAGTAAGAGACACTGCCATGGGTCCCCCTTGCTTCAAAAACACATATCCCATCGGTCTTGCCAATTTCTGCAGCATTTCTGAAAGTGCTCTTCCCCAAGCATCTTTATGAGGTGTGATCAAAACCACAGTGACTGCTTCTGTCCAGTGTCATCCCACAGAAAGGCAGGCTTGTAAGAACATGATGCTGTGTCCATATCCATTTTATTTAATGGACCTGGTACTGTGCAATTTCTGTCTCTTCCCCAAAGTCAAAATGACCATGAAAGGTACGCATTTTGCCTTGATTCAGGACATCAAAGCAGCCAGGACAGTACAACTGAAGACAATGAGGAAAGAAGACTTCCAGAATGTCTTTACGAAGAGGCAAGAACAATGGGGAAAGTGTGTCCGAAGTGAAGGGGGTTGGTTTCTGAGGGGAATTAATGGCAATGTCTTTTATTATAAGACATTTTTAAAATTTAAATATCTGAGCCAGGCACACACCTGTATTCCCATCACTTGGGAGACTGAGGCAGGAAGATCTCCAAGCTTAAAACCAGTCTAAGCTTTGAGTTCAAGGCCAGCATGAACTACATATGTAACAAGACCCTGCCTCAAAAACCCAAAAATAAACAAATATTTGTACTTTTTGATCCCTTAATACTTTTCAAATCTTACTTCTCAGTTTACATTTATATATTTATATTTATGCTCTAAGGAAATTTTAAAGTTTATCTGCAGTAATCTGATCACAGAACTAAAAATAAAATCCCAGCTAGGTGTGATAACTCATGCCTATAATCCCAGTACTCTAGGAAGCTAGAGCAGGAAAATAACAAATTCCAGGGAAAGGGATTTAGCTCAGTGGCACTGTGTATGCCTCCCAAGTGCAAGGTCCCGAGTTTGATCGTAGGTACCAAAAAAACAGATTCCAGCCCCACTAAGGCAACCTAATGACAGTGAGATCTCCAAAAGAAATAAAAACAGCTGGAGATGCAGCCCATGTGTGGCCTGCAGTTCAATGCTCAGGACACCCAAATTACGATAACCGCCCCAGTTAGGACTTTCTGAGATGTGTGTACTGGATGGTGGGTCATGGAGAGGACAGTGTGAAGCAGGGAAAAGGAGAAATGATGAAATGGTTACTGCAAAAGGCAACTCTGAGCAGCATTTCACCAGGCACTTCAGGAAACAAGAGTCCTCTAGAACTAGAAGAGTACAAAGCCTGGCTGCACTGCCTTATGCACTACTTTGAGAACCAGTGCAGGACTGTGTGCTGACGACTACACGGCACCCATATCACTCCAGAGGGGCCCACGTGGCCGCAAGGGGCACTGGCCATGCACAGCAGGGTTACAGCAGCTGGCACAGGCCATGTACTCCTGTTTGACACAGTAGCAGTTCTGGTACAGCTGGAACTACAGGAAAACACTGTTTGGGTTTTTTTTTTTTAAATAAAAAATAGAAGTCTGTTGAACATCTTTATCTAATGTCTGTCTCCAGCAATGAGACACAATCACAGTAATATAAAGCCTTTCAAATCCTAGCTACTGTGAAAATCCTTAAAAACTTTGTTCAATTGCCACAAATCTTCCAAGACAGACCTGTAAAGATGGCCAGGTACAAGGCAGGAGAGTCGCTATTCCTACCTGGCTCTTTTGGAAGAAGGCTGGATGCTGGTTACTTCGTTCTGCTTCGGTTTGGGAGGTAATCTTATACCCTGTAATGAGAATGTGTCCACTTTAAGTCAAACCAGTCTCCCATCAGTGCACCAGCTTCCAAGAAGGTTATCTGCCAAATAAGCAATCAGGTAAGCATCTGTAGGAAACATGCACTTGGTCCTTCAGAACGGGTAATGGGAGCACAGCTGGGACACGTGGACTAGGAGTGAAGGGACACACCGGGGCCTCTGTGCCAGCTCTGCCTCCCCTCTCCATTCAACAAACTCTCCTGGATCTTCAGTGTCTTTGTCCCATTCTTTCCTCGACCTGGAACTTCTCAGAACCATTATTATTTCAAGTGCTTTGTCCTGTGTCCCAAATTAAAATGGGAAAAATATAATGACTGCAATTATATTCCCCTAAAAAATGACCATTCCTAATACAGAAATGGCACTCAAGCTGTCAGGAAAGACACTCCATGACAATCAGATCAACAGTACTACTGGAAGAAGCCGAGGTGCGGTACCCATACCTGAGCCTGAAGCTGGAGCTGCTGGGAAAGATGACAGAAGAGGACATGACCCAGAGGTCCCTGGCACCATCATCTCCATTCTGCCCCTGACCTTTGCCAGCTCCTCTCTCAGGGTGTTTTCAAAATGATACTGATTTGTTCATGTTTGATCACTTGAACTATGTTTGCTTTTTTCAACTATTTCTCAACCTAAAGTACACACTACATTTTCTAAGTATCGCTACCATACTTAACAACCAAAGTAAATGTACACACACCTACAACACATCAGGAATCTTAGCCCTTTAGACCCAGAGGCTCAAGTTCCACAATAATGTGCAGGAGAGTTTACTTTGCTTTGTTATTATAAGAGCACCATCCCTGGATCTTGTTCCAGACCACGCTTCCATCTCAAACTGTCAGGCCCCTAGCAGCAAAGACAGAAACATGGTAGGATGGACAAAAAGGTTAAATGAGTCTCACTGTCTCTATTATTTTCAGCTTTTTAACACACAGCCACCAGGGAACCTGACATGTAGAGCCTTGATAATTTTAGAATATCTACCATGTGGTATGGGAGGAAAAAGTGATGACCACTTTTCCAGCTTGACCCTAACAGCTATTCCAAAATTTTCTTCATCTAAAAGAACCAAGAGAACATACGCTTTTGCTGGTGTGTCAGAGCTGATCACTCATGTTTTGTTAAAATCTTAATTAGAATAAGCAGTTTAAGCCAGAAAAAAATACATATATGATCACATCATTAGCACTAGAAAAAAAACAGTAGCAAACAAACAATAGGCTTCCTGGAGGATCTGAAAGAGCGTGTGCGCACATGTGTGTGTGTATGTGTGTGTGTGTATTATATGTATATAACACATCGTGTGTGTGTGTGTGTGTGTGTGTGTATTATATGTATATAACACATCATTACTGACCAACAATGAAAGCACTGCTGTTTGTAACTATTATTGTAGAAAAATAGAAAAATGTACTCATCAAACCTACAGCTGAGCATGTGGCAATCTCCCACAAGACACCCACACGAGAACTGATGGCACTCAGACTGCGTGTCCTGTGGCAGGAAGGGTCCCGTCAGAGCCCTCGCCCAGGCACGGCATCCGAGGATGCTGCCCCTGCGGAGGAGGAGGTCTGGCCCCTGGGTGCTGACTGTGGCCTTCTGCACCTAATGGTGCTCAAGTTCTTGCCTATCCTCCAACCCCTAAAACAACTACAAAGCTCTCCAAAGCAAGAAATACTCCACACAGACAGATATGAATGACCATCATCAACACCAATAATTAGGAGAAAAATCAGACCTAGAGTACATTAGGCATTTTATGACAATATGAAGACACAGCCTTCGTTTGTCATCATGACAGCAGTAATAAAACAATTTTAATTTATAAATACAAATTTCCAAACATATCCCTGCTCCACTTGAACAGTACAGTATTAGCCAAATGGAGGTATTGATGTAACATACCATCAGCAGCTCTGGTGACACTTTCAATGGAACTCTCCACGCATCTAAAGAGATAAAGAAGTTATTTTTTAACAATAAATACACTGTTCAGACACAAGAACCTTTTTCTAAAAGCCTTTTCTGGGGCTGGTGACCCCAGACACATGTGTGGCTTTTCTTGCAACACTGAACAGGACTAAGTGCCATGCTTAAGTTTCAAAACTTTCTGGGGGATGAGGTAAGGGAGGGAGTGAACCAATGCTTTTGTCGACACAAAGAAGCCCTCAGGAAACCAGCAGTGAGCCCTGTGACATCACAGGTCTCGGCATCCCCCCATGTATGGCATGGTCCAGTCCTGGCATCACAGGCTGGATCCAGGCTGACAGGAAGGAACACAGCACACAGGCAGAGGCTGCCCAGGGACCAGCAGACTTATGCCATGGGAAAGGTAGTCAAAAGGCCAGGGCAGGTGCTAAGAGTGGACATCTCCACAAGGCTGGCCCTCTAGAGCTGCTTCAGAGCTGGGAAGAGACCACGGAGGGCTGGGACACAGCTCTGGGCTCAAAAGGAAGAAGGGCTTCCCCATGATTAGACTCCAAAAGCAGAGTGGGCTCCCTCAGAAGAACATCAGAGCCTGCTCTGAAAGGCCTTCTGCAAATAATGTCCAACTCCAGAAAAGCAGAATAAAAGCACAATTCCCCCATGTGGAATTGGGTGATGGCAAAGGGCTGAAAGCAGGTGGCACAGAGATGCCCAGGAGGCAACAGCAAAGCCTGACAGTGACAAAGAAGGCACTGATGCCCAAGAAACAGGTAATGTTCCACAGGGCCTACAAGGCACCTGGCCTGAGGGACTGACTAAGGCTTTCCCATGCTCCTTCCCATGCCAAGACCCCACCATGAGCAAGCAAGGGCTCAGGGCAGTGTAGAGAAAAGAAACAAGAAATAAGTAAAGAGGGGTCTGAACAGCAGAGCCAAGCCTGGTATCACCACAGGGAGACCCAGCCGAAGCACCAGCAAGGAGCCCACCCATCACACGCACAGCAGGCGGAGCCTCCTTACCCAGCAGGTTCAGCACCAGGTGCTGTGTGGGTGCAAAGGGGTCCTGGAGGTTGAAGGCCGTGTACCGACCATACTGGATCTGCCTCAGCGCCTCAAAGTTCCCCAGCAGGATGTCCCCAAGCCACTGTGCATTCACACACGGGATCCTCCATTCTTTGGCCTTCTCATACTTTAAACCACTTGGTCTGTTTTTGAGGAGAAATCATATTTCTGAAATGCTGGAGCTGTCAACTGTCTAGAATGGTATTTATTGTCAACAAAGCCAAAGAAAACACCTCTCATAACAAAAGTGGCAGATATCTCAGCAAAGCTGCTGGTGACCCCTGCTGGTGGGCAAAGGTGCTTCAGAGTTTGACTGGATCAGGAGGCCACTTGCCAGTCCTGCTGTGACCCCACACCTGAGGACAAACCACAACACTGATTCAAGTGCCACTCAGTCATCCACATGCAGCAGTTCAGATGGTTCACAGGTACTTCTGTTAATACTGCTTACCATGAATATCATCACATCCACTCTTTCAATAGACTAACTCCTACACTGGGATTCTTGCCACAAAACTACGACATATTAGGAAACAGAACAGGTGAAACGGTAACTTTACTGCATGTAAATTCAGGACTGAACATGGTCGTGGCGCAGAGCTTACTCTTTACAGATGAGGACCGTGTTGCTGCGGCACAGATAGCCCGTGTACTTGGCACCTGCCAGGTATGCCATCAACTTCAGGTCATCTCTGTCACTGTCCACAAATCCAGTCACAGAGATAATCTATAGAAAAAGAGCAAACAAGGTTTTTAAAAAATGTATTTCTTCAACTTTGTAGCTGTTTTATATACCTTTTTTTCATTATTTCTTTGGCACTACAGGACATATTTGGTACTATCATTCCTAAGAATGACAAGACTAGAATTTTATTTATGGCCACCACATTACACACAGAACCCTCAAAGGGAAGAAGACAACTAAACATAGGGCATCAAATACAGGAAAATCTTTTTGGTGTTGGTATGACATTGCTCAGATGCATACATTAGTCACATTTTTAATCTTCTGTACTGATCCCAATTTTGCGATCATTAGGTAGTAGAACACACAAATACTGATAAAATTCTGCCCAACAGTGGTTGCTTTTGGGCCACGATACCTGATTAATTTTAGAATTTTAAACACTAATACTTTGGAGAATCATTAAAAATTGATCATGCAGAATACTGTGCCTATTTTGGGGAACAACAGGAAATAAGCTATTTTCATGCCGGGCACTTCTACGGTAGGCCAAAGTACACAGAAAAACTGCCCAGAGCAAGCAAGGGATGGCCAGGCAGTACACGTTGTTCTCCAAGAAGACTGATTCAAGAGAAAAAAAAACAAGACAAAACCCTTAGCCCTGCCTTACATGCTGTGAGCACGGCTTTCCCCCTGGCGGGAACGCCACAGGGAAATGCAGGGCTCGATGAGGCGGCACCATCTTCTTCTTCTTCAGGACTGTGTTTAACCAGTGTGCAGTGACGCACCGTTTTCTTTCTCTTATCGCCTGTCAAACAAGATTACAGGTTTGTTGTTCTGGAACTTTTGCTATAGAACTAGATGCAAAATAGTAAGGATGTGTGACTAAAAATGCCACCTCGAAAGCCTCATAAATTAAAAGAAAGTCATACCATTCAACACACAATTTATTAAAGTAACCAACTACAATGATGCAGCTGATACTTTCAATCCAACCAAAAAATGTTTCTATCTATGAACAAGAGCCTGCAACAGGGAATAAGAGCAATGGATGGTACGACATCAGTAAGAACAACCAGGAATGACATGACACTAATGATTCTCAGAATTAAAATTCTTCCAGAACACAAAGCAAGGTAATAAAATGTAAATGTACACCTACAATTAACCACAGAAAAAAAAGCTCACAAGATTTCCTACATTTTTAATTTCTAAGTAGATGTAATAAATAGCTACTTCTGCAAGAAGGCTTTTTCTTTTTCCTTTTCTTTTTTGCTGCAGGTGAGACACTGAACTGAGGGTTGCACACTGAAGTAAGGGTCCCACCACTCAGCTACATCCTCAGCCCAAGGGGACTATGTTAAGGGTTGTTTGTCACTAACACATTAACATGTGTAAGTGGTTGATTTATAGGTAAGAACATTTTATGAGAAGAGAAGACTCCACAGGTAAAAGGAGGGACTAACCCTAAGGAGAAAGCTTCTGCCCAGTGGGGACAGAGAAACTCCATGTCTGCCCTCTGCAGCCACAAGAGCATGAATGCTCTTCTACATTCATGACATTCTGGGATAGTGCCCACAAGGGATGCCTACCCTTTCCCAAATGCTACCCAGGACATCCTTTTCCTTCTCCATCACCAATGACAAACAGCATCCATAGAAGCACCCATTCTACCAGGCTCCATGAAAGTAAGAAGCAGGCAGAAAAAGCTCTTTCCAAAAATACCAACCAGCCAACTCTGAAGGCCCTGTGAAAGCACACACAGCAGCCCTGCCCAGCGTGGCGGGGCCACCTCCTCACCTGTGCGTACATGCTGCTGACCTGGCTCTCGCAGAGAAGGTGTGTGCACCGGCTCGTGAAGGTGGGATCCACCACACCACCATGTGCCTGGATGATCTGCACAAAAGATAGCCAGAATGCACCTCAGTCCCTTGGGCTTAGCGGGACTGCAGGTCTAAAAGACAGTTATGCAAAAGACCCATCACCCGTGCACACTGACAGAATTTTCTACTCAGCACACGAATCCCAACACTCATTTCATCTCAATGTCCAGGGTGAAAGAAGAAAAATGAGGGCCGGGGATTTAGCTCAGTGGTTCCCCCTCCTGCGTCGAAAACACAAGGACCCAAGTTCAATCCCCAAAGAAAAATGAAACATGACCTCTCTGCTCTGGACCTGAGACTGTGTGTCGTAAGACTGCCCTGGGCAGCACAGTGTCTGCAGCCCCAGGGCCCCTGCACCCCACACACCAGGAGGAAACCCTGACCTGACCAGCACACACGTCTTCACACACCAAGCATCCCAGGCAGATTCACCCCACCTTGACAACCACTACTCTAAAAGGAAGGAAAGGGAAAAGAGCAAATCAGGATGAAATAAGTAAATCCTGAAAACTGAATTTTAAACAGAACCAACATTTTGGGGTGAAGGAGCCATTCTATACTCTATGCTAATTACATGGCACCAAGTATTTGTCAAACCTCTACTGTGCACCAAGGGAGGGGGAACATGAGTGTATCATAACATATAAACTCAAAAACAGGCCCAATGCCCCAAAAGCCCCATTCTGTTTCCTTTACTTGTAAGTTTAATATTTTCAGTTACTACAAATGAGGTTTTAACAAGACAAGTGAAAAAACTGCATCCCTGCCCTGCTCTGAGCCACGACATCCCACCAGCTGCCAGGTGACCCATCAATCTGCCTCCCCTCACCTGCTGACAGCAGCTCCAGGGCTCTGTCCTCAGCCTTCCCACCTAACCACACCCACCTCTCACCTGTTCCTCAGCCAGTGGTGTAGCCCACAGCTACCAATGCCCTCTCCAAGCACCTTCTGCTTCCCTAGTGTCCATGACCACCTCATCCCTCGCCCCCCACCTGCTGCTTCCAAGTTCTTTTCCTGATGTCCCCCAAACTCACAGAAATGAGTGTGGTGGCCTTAAACTGTGTCCACCCATTACTTGCTACATCACCCCAAGAGCCAAGCCGCTCCCTAAGGCCTAAATGTGGATGCTCACCACCCAGCTACAAAGGACACCGGCTCCTGGGCCGGGGATTTAGCTCAGCAACACCATACCTGCATCCTGGGTGTGTGGTCTGGGGCAGAGGCCTGCCTTGCTGTGGCCACCCCAGCACCTCAACAGCCACATAGCAAGGCCCAGGTGCAACTCCTACAGCCACAGGGGACAGCAGAGTCACAGTCACCTATACAACCTCAGGATTTCCCATCTATGGGACAATAAATGCTGTCTCAAATCACAAAGCCTTGGAGAAATGTTACACAGCAACAGAAAATTAAAGCAATGCTGATTCTCCCCTTAATCCATCATGTCTTGCTCTGAAGTTCTCCTCCTGAGCCTTGCTGTCCTGCACCTGGTCACTCTCTAGTCGCACCTACTTTGTCCCTTGCCCTCACTGCCTCTCAGACCCAACACAGAAGCTTTCTGCCAGTCTCTGCTCATCAAGCTGGGCAGGAACCAGTCTTTGCCAGCTGTTCACTCACTCACTCCCTTCTCTCTACACAGTCCTCTCTCAAGTGGTTACTCCCACTTACCCTGTAAGATTCAGACCAGGAATTACCTTTGCAGGCTTCATAATGAACCCCCAACTGGCAGGCGAATATCCTTCCTCAGGCTCCTATGGTATCTGTGCCATGTCTGTCCCAGCCCCAGAGCCCTGCTCCTCAGGTGTCAGGATCAGTCTGGCTCGTCTCTGCTCCTCTACACACCAGGGGTTTATATTAGTGTTTTTCGTTTTTTGAGACAGGGTCTCTCCATATAGTCCAGGTTGGCCTCACAAAGTAGCCCAGACTGGCCTTGGAATCATGATGATCCTCCTGCCTCAGCCTCCCAATCCTGAGATTACAGGCATATGTTACCATGGCCAGCAACACTACCGGGTTTAAATGCCAGGAATACTTACAGTGAAACTCATTCAACTTGTGTCTGAACTCTTCTCGGGTTTTATTTCAAACAAATGTTGGACTCAATTTTGATCTGTGTCATGGCAAGAAAAGTGTTTGCTTTTTCTTTTCTCTAAAATCCACCAGGTCAAAATAAAAAACAAAAAAATGGACCACTGTTCCACAATGAGAAGACTGGGGTCCCTGCTAGCCTGGAGTCCCAGTGCTCTCTAGCATGTATCTTTGAAGAACAGAACAACTCAGACACATACAAGTTGCCAGAGCTTGTCCTCTACTGGGCCCCTACCCAACACCTCTAAAGAATGAGTGCCCTAGAATTCCGAGCCACAAGGATCTTGAAGATGATAAAGCCCCAAATCTTCACCAAAAGGCGAGAGAGTTGAGGCCCAAAACTGACCTCCCCAAAGCCAGAGAGGGCTCACAGCAAGAATGCCCACAATAAGCTTGGAATACACAGCTGTGTCTCAGAAGTGCAGCTGGAGCAGGCAGTCTATGCTCAGAATGGCTCATCTTTCAGCACAAAGTCCACACCCCCAGGAAGCTCACCCTTTTCCAGGTGGCCAGCAGCTGCTTATCAGACATCTGCTCCGGGTACTCCGCAATTGCGAACACACACCCCAGTAGGAAGCCTTCTTCTGGAACTAGGAGAGAAAGAAGCCAGAACTTGATGAATGTGCAGGCACAACTGCAAGCACAGCTGTGTGTTCAGCTTGCACTAAGTCAGTTCTGACCTGAGGGGGTCACCAGAAACCTGTGTACACCGGGAACACAGCAATGATATACAGATTTGATCATCTGGGTACAGTAGCTATTAAAAAATAAGGCTGACAGAAATTATGCCTGGATGCTAAACACCTTCAGTGCTACAGATGACTAGGAATGTCCTCCACCAGCAGGTAACACCCCAGAATAGGAAAAGGAGTACAGTGTGACCCACCTCAGCTGCTCTGTTGGATGTGAGACCCATGCTCCTGGTTCTGTGATCATTACTAGGTGTGACCCCACCTCACACCTCACCCTCAAAAGCACTTACACAAGCACTAGACTTTAAAAAACCCACTACTCACTCTCTACCGCTGGGTCGTGTCCACACAGCGGTAGCTGTGGAGGGGGCTGCTGTAGCGGCGGGGGCTGCAGGTGCGGGGCCTGGTGCTGCATGGCTGGGGGTGCCTGGCCCAAGTGTGGAGGGGCAGGATGCTGCAGCTGCTGCTGTTGGTGCTGGTGAAGGCGCTGCAGCTGCTGCTGCTGTACCTGTTGCTGCTGCATCTGCTGCTGTAGCAGGCTCTGCTGCTGCTGCTGCAGCTGTGCCAGCTGCTGGTGCTGTAGCTGTTGCTGCTGCAACTGATGGAGCTGCTGTTGCAGGTGCTGCTGCTGGAAAGGCTGCAGGGGCTGCTGGGGGCGGTGCAGTTGTTGCTGGGGGTGCAGCTGCTGCTGGGGGAATGGGTGCTGAAGGATCTGCTGCTGGGGCTGCTGGGGCTGCTGCGGGAATGAGTGCTGCTGTTGTGGACAGGGCTGCTGGGGCATCTGTGGAGGCTGTAGGTGGAGGACGGGGTGCTGCAATGGGTGCTGCGGTGGAGGCTGGCGGTGCGGTGGTGGCAGGTGAGTGTCAGGAGCGCCCCTCGTCGGGCCAAGCAGCATGGCACTGGAACTGGTATTGCCATGCCCCTGCTGGCCATGGCCCACCTGTGGCTCCAGGGTCTTTGTGGGTGCTGACAGGGACTGCAAAATCTGAAAAACAAGTGCAAGGCTGGCCTTTATCCACAAGTCCCAAAGCAGGAGAGCAAGAGCAGGGCTCATACTCCACCATTAGAAGTGCCAAGTGAGAGCAAATTGAAAAGCCATACCGCAGCTTTTGCATGTTTCCTTCACATCACCAATGTCAACACAGTAACTATATAATGTCTCTTTTGAAAATATCAAAATTGAAATTAGGTGCATAACATGGAATGAACTAATGAACTAAAGTGAAGGGAAGTGACGCAAAAGACAGTTCAACAAATCAGATAAGCACCTACAAGCCCCTCCTCTCTTGCACCCCAGCCTCTTTCTGACCAGGAGGCTCCTGTGGAATGACAGGGTGGAGGCGCCCAGCAACCAGACTTGCAACCACCCCACCTCAGCCCTCAGCCCTCATCCCACCTCCTCTGGACATGTGGCCAAGCAGGGGTTCACCCACATTCCAGAGAGCAAGGTTTACACTGAACCCCAGCACCTTGAACAGGCAGCCACCCTAGCCAGGCCATGGCCTCTGCTGCACATTCTCTATGCAGTAAGATGACAGAGGAACAGACAGGACGTAATTATAGGTCTGCGCACATGGCAAGTGTCCTGACAGACCATTGTTACAGGTGCTGAACCATGCTTCCTCAAAGACTATGCCCTTCAGATGGACACAACCGTCTAAGGCTGGAGCTGATCATCAAGTCAGACTGCTTTCCTTCCTCTTCACTCTGCTGTACATGGCAGGGCTGACCTAAGGGCTCTATGCTGGGGACAGGCAGGAAGGAAAGGGACAGTGACCAAGTCACTGCAAGGTACTTTTCTACCAAACACCAAATGAAACAGACATACTGAATGATAAACTTCATTCAACAGGCTCAAACAATGCAAAGTTGAAGCCAACTTGTTAAGGCTGAGAAACCAGTATGGCCACTGTTTCTTCTCAAGACTTAAAAGTATTTTTTAAGGCAAAGGGGAAAATTAACCCCACTACAAACCACCCTAAGCAGCCACACCGCCTCTGGTACACCACCAAGTCCAAGCAGAACCTGTGAGAGGCACCTGCCCAGATGTGCACACCAAACCAGTGGGGGCCTGCATGCAGCCCTGGACATTACTGGGCTGCCTCCTGGAGAGGACACAGGAGCCACATGGTTTGGTCTTCTCTCACTCTTTATTTTGAACACACCTTGTTTCCCACCAAGGAAACTGGGTAGGTGCCCAGGAAATAAACACAACCAGCCTCCCTTCTGTACTACCTACTCGAGAACAAGGGGGCTCAGAGGGACAACACTACACAGACCTAGGAGCAGACTCCAGGATGGGGTCACAGAGGGACACCTGCAGGAGCAGCCACATGAATGGCTGTCTCTACAAGGAGGTCACAATCTGAGAGGGCAGAGGAGGGCTGGTCACGAGAGAAGGCAACACCGAACCATCTGCCTTGGACTTGAGGCGCAAAGGTTGAAGGAGACTCAGCCCATTCAAGGACAAGAGCTCCAGGACAAATACCCTGGCCAGGCATGAAGAGGCCAACTAGCCTGGGTGTTCTCCCTAGCTGGGAAGGCCAGGGACAGGGTGGGACAGCCAGGGGACCAGGTACCATCAAGAGACTTGCTCAACACTTGCTGTACTTGTCAGATTGCTGTTTCACCTCTCCTGAAAACACAATCAACCTTAAGAATGTAAAGAAAAGCGGGAATCCTAACTGCTCTTGGAAATGTGTCATACTACAAATAATTCCAAATGAGCGGAGGTTAGAAATCTTCATCACCACTGTCATAACCCTTCTTTAAATTACATAATCTGACTTACTACTACTACTACTACCACAGAAAGCACCATAGTGCATGCCAATGATTCCTGATCATCAACATTTACAACTCAAACAGGAGTCTACTGGCGAGCTATGCCCTTCCACCACAGCAAGAGGTGAAACCACATCTGTCTCCTATTCCTGACATTTCAGAAGTTCATTTTCTTCACATCTTGCAATTGTCCTTATGTTCCCTCTCACCCACTGGCAAGCTTCAGACCAGTCCTCCTCAACTGTGGGCCAGCACGCAGAGGTGCCCATGCCTCCCCCTGAGGACACTGCAGGCGGTGATATGCCTGACTGCCTGCATACTTCTATTCCCAACAAGGTTCTTCTCTAGAACCACCCGCCTGCTAACCTCCCCATGCTGGTGGGATGACTACTCTTGGGTCACAAGTTCTAGAACCTTCCTGTCCACTAGCCCACCACTCTTTACATGTATACTGTGTGCCCATTTTTCTGCAGTTCTCAGCAGCCTGCTCTCCTGCTATGCAGTGACTGGGTGGACACACCTTCAGCCCTGTCCCTGCTCTGAGTGACACCAGCCCTGGTCTGCTACTACTCCCAACCACACTGGCTGCAGTTAGCTGCAAATGCACTCACCTCCAAGATGAGTATGTACTGCAAAGTGGAAGGGGACCAAGGGAGTGGTGGGGCCCAAAGCCCACCCCAGCAACCTATTTCTAAGGGGCAGCTCGTGCCACAGAGGATGCTGGATGGGAACCCCCAGAAACAGCACTTTCTAAGTGATTTGATCTGAAGAAGCAGAAACAATAAAATGAACTATGCTGAAAGAGCTGAAAAATCCAATTCTTAAACCCAATATTAAGATTTCTTTTCCAGAGTGACTTACATGTGCTACATTTGATGGCCGACTGATCTGCTGAATGTCAGCATTATTAGTAATATTCCTCAATGTCCGCACAGCTGGGCTCCACGTGGTGATCATTTCTGCTCTTTCGGAACTCTGGAGATTCTGTCCAGAAGCCATGAAGTTCCCCCGGACATCCGGAGGCAGAATGTTCCCCGGGACTGGCGGAACATTGGCACACAAGTTAATGAGCCCGGCCTCCTTGCCCTGGGGCAGCCTGCGCTTGGCAGCCGTGGGCTGGGGAACTTCAGCCGGGGTCCAGTTCAAGTTTCTCTCTTGCTTCTCCGGCGATGAGTCTGAAGAGTCATCAAACATCAACTCCCCTTTGGTAGTCTCTGTGTTGGGCTTGGGTGAGAATGGCTGGTCCCTGGAAGGAGAGCCCTCCTGTGAGCTAGCTGGGCTTGATTTCTCCTCAGTGCTGCCCTCGTTCTGTGAGTCCTGCTCCTCGTTCTCTACCTCCTCTTCCTCTTCCTCCTCCTCTTCTTCCTCCTCCTCATAGATGATCAGGCGCGGATGGTAAGGTGCTTCGTCCTTCCTGGTTTTTTCAGATACACAGTCCAGCACCCAGTCAGGAGTCACCACTTTAATACTAGCTCGTTTCACAGCACATTCGTATTTCTCCTGTGAGTGAAGCACAAACACACAAGGATGTCAGTGTCACTGATCTCTGGGATTCCATACTTTTAGAGAAAGCTTCAGGAGCAACGTGGCTTCAGCGTCCAGCAGCCTGCACTCCTGCAGACAACAAGGAGGGACCATGCCAGGGAGGGAAGTTCACCTGCAATGGCAGTCTTGTTTAAAGTCATCTGGGCATTTTAAATGCACAAGTACAGCTAGGAACGCTATGGAAAATTATGAAGTAAAAATGCACTAAGTTTTTACACAGACACTTTTTGCAAAGCTGGTTTTCCACGTGATATCTTCAATGCATCCAAAACAGTCACAGGGATATAGATGGTGGTCACAGCAAAACTGGTTCTTAGGGAGTTCATTCTACATGCCAGGCAACTTGAAGGGCTGCAGGCCAAAAGGATATAACATGTCTCTGGCTTAGGGAGAGCCACAGATTGGCTCAAAATTTAGAGGAATTAAACATGGAATGAGAATACAACACAGAGCCTGACCGGGTGCTGTGGTGAGAAGGACCACACTGGCATGGGCAGGAGGATGCAGGGAGCCTGGCCAGCCCCTGCATGGTTAGAAAGGACTGCACAGGACACGGCACAATGAAGGAGGCAGGGTGGGCACCAATGGGAGAGGAGACATATTAAACAATTCACAAAGCAAGGTCGTGACTTCTAATAACTCAGACTGAGCAAAGGAAAATAAGCACGGCCCCTAAATGAAAAGGGCACGATGAGCATTTCTGATGGTTAGTTCTAATAATTTTGCCATAAACACATATGCATATATGGTATTAAGAGGGCAACTGGGAAACCTTATGGTCACAGGTGCAAATACACCACCATTGTGCATTTTTCACTTAAAACTACACACACACACACACACACACACACACACACACACACACAAAACCAGTCAACAGGCACACTTCTATGCTGGTGCTTCTGTTGTCACTTCTAAACGTATGACTGCAAACAGTACAGAGTGGACCACATCAAGAACCCCTGAGCTGCCCACAGCCTACTTCACTTGTGCCGCCGCCTCCTGCCTGTATGCACACCTCCACCCATTGCAAACTGAGCCACTACCACAGCCCTCAAGACTACCTGAGCCGCTTCCCACACAGGGGCTCCTGCATCCTCCCCAGGAGGTTCCTGCTTCACAGATACTCAATGACTTTGCTTGTGGCCAGTGGCAAAGTCATCCTAGTATTTTGCTGTGCAAAACTGGAGTTAAATTTTATGATTAATTACAAAGTTATAGGGTTCGCTTTAAAAATAATATGGATCCAGGCTCTACTGCTTTATGTTTTTACCATATTTTTAATTTTTTGTTAGTACTTGTTCACAGTACATGATTCCACTCCTTGCGGGGAGCTGGTGCATGCACATAATACATGGCAATTCTTTTTACTCCCACAGCCCCCAATCTAGGGTGACACTTCCCTCCAAAAAGCCACCCTGATTTACACTTTTAGCACCTATACAGGAGCAAACCAACTGGTACCCTTTCTCACTCCTTACTCTAAATATCATGTCATTTTTAAGTACAGAGGAGCCTCAGTTCACAAACACTTTGTTTATGAACAATTCAGTTTGTAAACAGAAGCACTGGGCAAAATCTTATTTTTGTTTGCAAACTACATTAGGGGACAAACACAACCATGGCCGTCCTTTTCACATGAATACAAATATGGTTATTTTCCCCAAATCATGGAACAAACCAAGTTCACAAACCGAGGTACCACTGTACATAAGTATAAAAATGGTCCACAGACGCTCTCCCCTAGGTAAACTCAAGGATAAATTTCTATAGTAAACTAGAGTCCCAATATCTGGACTATTCCCTGAGAAGATCCAGTTATTTTTGGAAAATATGAAGTCCAAGAATATATCAAAGCACTTATAGGCCGGGGGATTTAGCTCAGTGTTCCGCCACCTGCTTCACAAGCACAAGGTCCTGAGTTTTATCCCTGGCACCAAAAAAAATAAAATAAATAAAAAGTACTTATAAACTCATTAATACAAATATATGTTCAAATAACAATAACACAAATGATAAATAATATGGCTTATAGCTGGACGTGGGGGCACATGTTCATAATCCCAGAATTTGGGAGGCTGAGGCAGGAGGATCACTACAAGTTCAAGGCCAGTCTGGTTTTTTTTTTTTTTTTTTTAACAGGGTCTCACTATGTAGTTGAGGACGACCTGGAACTCACTATGTAGCCCAGGCTGGTCTTGAACTCACAGGGATCCTCCTGCTTCAGCCTCCCGAGTGCTGGGATTAAAGGCGTGCACCACCACGGTTGGCTAAGGCCAGTCTGAACTACATAGCAAGACCCTATCTCAAAAAGCCCCCACCCCAAAGTGCAAGGTCCTAGGTTCTAGCCCCAGTACTAAAAACAAACAAACAAAAAGCTCCCACCCCAAATACAGCTTATATATTGTTCACTGAAGGTAACAACATACTTGAAATAATATATGAAATAAAGTAATTTAAATTCTGTTAACAAATACAAAAAGTAAAACTACTACTGCCACAGACAGAAGTGGGGCCAATGGGGGACACTGAAAAGTCGTCTCCCACATACACACAGGAGTTTGGGATCCACGAGTCCCTAAGTGTGGGCTACTATGACCCATTTCAGGGCTGGCTGGGCTATTTACTTTCCATGCAGACCCAAGGGTCAGGAGGAGCCTGCCTTATCAACTCTACCCAGGCCACCTCTCACTTGTCACATGAGATGCTCTGACCAAAGCATTACTACTAAAGATAATTTGAGTCAGGCACTATTTCAATGCCTTTGACTGAGCCAGTGCACAGCAGTATTTTTTCAAATCATGAATTCTCCATGTGTCAAGGACCCCAGCATCAGCCGGCAGTCTGAGGGTTGGGGTGACCAGGGTGGCTGACACTGGCTGAGCATGTGACATGCACTGTGACATCAGATGACTGGCAAAGGGCACAGCAGGAGTGCTTAGTCACAACAGACCAGCCCTCCTGCTAGCTACAGCCACACTGTCCCTGTCATCCTCCTCAGTTTAAATCAAAGTTTCATTAAGCCATCTCCACAAGTTCCTTTATGCACTCATTTTAAAAATGCAAATATGCTGGGTGCAGTAGGAATGTCTGTAATCAATCTCAGCACTCAGGAGGCTGAGACAGAAGGACTGCCACAATTAGAGGCCAGCTACAAAGGGATTTTAAGGCCAGCCCGAATCACATAGTGAAACCCTGTCTCAATCAATCAATCAATCAATCAATCAAATAAATAAAATTTTTTAAATGAAAAAGGATGAGTTAACGTTAAAAAGAAATGCCATTTATTTTCACGTGTGATCTTTCCTTAGCACTTATACAATGTATAATACTATAAGTTTTACTTAAATCAAATTACTTATTTAAATTTAATAAATTTATTAATTATTTAAATTATTGTTATAATCATTTAACTATTTAAATCATTATTAGACTTAAAAAGTTATATCTGAATAGGCTGTAGAATATAATAATATAAAGGAATGACCAAACTATTGTAGACAGCTAAGGTGTCAGAAAATATTATAGGTAGTTAGGTGGGCAGCACATTGTCTTCCTCAGCACAGAAGACAATGGTAGCATGAGGCTCTTTCACAGAAGGCCAGGTTTCAAGAAAAGAGGACCAACTACACCCACACACTTCTCCAGGGATGAACAGCAGTGACTGCTATTCTAAACAGGCATCAGTCACCCTCTCAGCAGTCACCACTGCTTCTGCAAAATTCCAAGCTAGCTTTCCTCAGGACTTGCCTCCCTGTTTGACCATTTAATCATTACCTAAGCAACTAGACTCCTGTAATCTTATTGAGGGACCCATAGTTTTGTCCCACCTCATACCCACCTGTGATTTCCCACTGGATCAATATTACCTAAGCAACTATACATACAATCTTTTTATTTTATTTTATTTTATTTATTTATTTATTGGTTTTTTGAGACAGGGTCTCACTATGTAGTTGAGATTGACCTGGAACTCAGTATGTAGCCCAGGCTAATCTCGAACTCACAGCAATCCTCCTGCCTCAGCCTACTAAGTGCCAGGATTACAGGCGTGCACCACCATGCCTGGTTTATACAATCTTAACTGACTAGTTTTTGTTTTTGTTTGTACTGGGATCAAACTCAGGACCTTGCAGCTGCAAGGCATGTGGCAGGCGGCACCACTGAGCTAAATCCCCAGCCCCAATCAACTGTAGTTTTGGGTTTTTTTGTTTTTTGTGTTTTTTGGTACTGGGGATTAAACTTGGGTCCTTGTGCTTGAAAGGCAAGTGGTGGAACCACTGAGCTATATACCTGAGACCTCAACTAGTTTTGTCCCACCTGGAACACGCCTCAAACTCCTGGCTTAGCTCAATAAAACACCCCTGAGGGGTCAGCAGACAACCCACTTTCTGGTCTCCCTTCTTAGAAGCCTTCTTTGAGCTGGGGATTTAACTCAGTGGTTCCAGCACCTGCCTTACAAGCAGCAAGGGCCCCAGTTCAATCCCCAGGTACCAAAAAAAAAAGGCTTCTTTCAGTAAATTCTTCCTACTCTTAATCTCTATTGTTCCTAGAATTTATTCTTCCATTTTAGAGAACACAAACTCAGCACGTTCAGACATCTAACAGGTTGGAAGTTATATTTTCCTTACATTATCTGAATTGTTTGGAGGTCCTATATCATCCATAGATCATGTGCCCTATATCAGCTATCTTGAAGGGATTTAATATCAAATACGATAATTTAGTCATATGGTATAGGCTACAAATATAATCATAGATAAAGAATATACCTAATTATAATCTCCATTAACTTTGGGTTTTATAAATCATGACGCTGGGACACATGGATCCTCATGTTCTTCTGGAAGGCTGGTGCTTCTCAGGCTCCTGGGAAAGGGGCATGCTCAGATGGCCATGGCCAATATCTGCTCTGGACCAGGAGGGCACATGATCTGTCACAGCACAACAGCAGTATGATGACCTTCAGAGAGACAGCAGACAGACTGGGTACCAACACCACCTCCATAATTTTTCAGTTCTGTGATCTTGGCTATTAATTCAGTGATACTATAGAGGAGTTGCTACCATTGCCTAGTTCCTAAAATGTGTTGAAGGCCCCTGCTTTTTCTGTACAAAAACTGGCAGAGAGGACAGGTTATAGGCTGTTGTAGAATGACACAGATGAAAACTGCACAGTTGAAGAACATTCTCCAACATTCTGAGGAAACCGCAAAGTATTCACATTGAAAAATACATGGTCAGTTATACACTAGTTTTCCAAAAATTAGCTATGAAAAATTATAAAAGAATGATTATTGCTGACTCATTCACGAAATTACCAAAAGTTGGTCACTTTTTTATTTGGATTTTAACTGGAGATCAGATGACTACAGACAGTATCGCTTAGGGTTTGCCTGCAGTGTGGCGGACAGAACCCAGGGATGTGTATGAGGTCCACTCCCCTAGCAATGCCCCCAGCTCTCACATGGGCACTGTGTTGTCAGCAGACCCCCCCATACTCCTCTCTCCTGCACCTTCACACCAATGGTGATTCTACTTAGATAAGCATCCATCACATCACACATGAGATCTTCCTACCTCCCTGTGCCAGAGCACTCTGAAATCCTAGACACTTTCACAATCATTGCTTTTTGTTTCCATACTGTACATGTGGGCATTATGGATTTTTTAGAAAGTATTTAGGCACAGCAGAGTGTGTTTGGAAAGAGTAGTTATAGAAAGGGATGCATTTCATTACCTACTATGCTGTATTACTGTGGATTGTTGTTATTTTCATTATTGGCAAATATAAAATATGCTTTTACTAAGTTTTACCATTGCAGAGGAAATGAAGCAAGCATTAAAACAGTAGTTCATTTTCTCTATATTGAATCAGTTCTTTAAAAACCGGGAAATTGGGCCAAGGATTTAGCTCAGTGGTGCCAAGTCTGCCTCTAAGTGCAAGGTCCTGAGTTGGATCCCCAGTACCAAAAAACAAAAGCAAAACAAAACAAAACCCCAAAAACCCAAGAAAAACAAAACTGGGAAATTAAGCCACACTCGGGAGGCTGAGGCAGAAGAATCACTGCAAATTCAAGGCCAGCCTCCTCCACACAGTGATTGAAGGTCAGCCTGAGCTGCATAGCAAGACCTTGTCTCAAAAAACAACAAAACAAAAAACTGGGAAATTAAAATTGAAAAAGCAAAAAGACTTACCTTTCTTCCTCTTGTTTATAAGTGAAACCAAGGATGAAGAGTAAATAAATTACACAAAATAATATAATTCTATTATAGACTTTGAGAGAATCACTACATACAAGTATAGTACATGTGTGTACATGTATTGTTTAAAATCAAGCTTTTAAAAAGTGTGAAATACTTGCTTTTTCTAAAAATGATCATGTAGCATATTTGTTGTCTTATGAGCATGTTTTAGCCAAATAAAATAATCTGTTTAGAGTGATTCTTTGTTGACATAAATAAAGCCCAATTAAGGCACACATATACACACACTTATATATAAACTGTTGACTCAGATACGGTTTTCTTCCAAATAGTCATTTAAAAAATATTTCGTTTTTAGTTATACTTTAAAGTCAGTAAATACTTTAAAATATGGATCATATCCAAGGTTGAGGCTGTAGCTCATTGGCGGAATGCTGCACTGCATGGCAAGTTCAATTCCCAGCACTGCCAAAAAATTTAAAAAGCTAGAAACTCAAGAGTTACTAAGGATTTATAAAAATATTTTTGAAGGGAAAAACCTTGAATGAGGGCTCTAGATTTAAGGTCAAATTGCAGCTGTGGCATCTGCCTATAATCCCAGATACTTAGCAGGTTGAGACAGGAAGATCACAAGTTTGAGACCAGCGAGACTCTGTCTCAAAATTAAAAATTAAAAATGACTAGGGATGTAGCTCAGTGGCAGAAAACCCCTGGGCTCAGTACCCAAAACTGGGGAGAAAAAAAAAAAGTTAAATTACAATTTAAAACAGCTTTGATCAACTTACTCTCTTCAAGAATTGCCTATTACAGCTGACTCTTTAGAAGAATTGCTCGATTACAAGAGTTCATTTCCCCTTCAAACTATGTAAAAATCAAAGGATTTATTTTTAGCTACAGCCCATATTGAGATAAAAATAACACTTACAGTAATTATTTAACCAAAGTGTACTATTTACCACTTTATACTGTTATACAAAATTGAAATCGTTTATTTAAATAAATTGCAAAAACCACATGGTGAATTTTCACAGGAAAGGGTTCCTCTTGGGGACAGCAGCTTACTAACCATTCTGAGTCATACCAGGCTGGCCAGCTCCTGGCTTATCTGACAGGAAACCCAAGCACAGCACATGGTGAGGGTCTTTCCAGCTGCAGGGACACTGGGCAGGGCAAAGCCCAGCCCACCCTCATGATGGGCCTTGTCTCTGTCCTCTGTCCCCCAGCACACTCAATTCCCTTCTATCTTTGTGACTCAGTGCACCTGGATGCAATAACAAGATGACAATGTAATTCCAAGCAAAAGTAATTCAAAAATGTGAAGGCAGTGACCAGTATGTGGGAAAAAAAATAACTAGTCAGTAGATTACTTAGCTATATAAATACACTCAACTGGATTCCCAAAGTTCTATATTGTTCCCTCACACACGGCTGGGGTCCAGCGAGCCTAAGAAAGCAAAGGGCAACCTGCATTTCTGAAGGGGCCCAGGGACCCCCACTTGAGCCCAGTGCCTCTGGCCATACCACTGCCCAGACACGAGCGTCCTCTGCTGATATAAGTGCAACGTTGATACATTCCAGATTATTAACACAATACATAAAAAACCTTTACCAAGATGGCACACACCTGTTATCCCAGCACTCTGGAGGCTGAGGCAGGAGGATCAGTGCAAGTTCTAGGCCACCTGGGGCTACCTGGTGAGTTCAAGGACAGCCTGAACTACACAGTGAGACTCTGCCTTTACCAAGTATGTTTATAATTATATCTGGGACAAATCTTTTAAAAAATTGTGAGACAGACTTGGTGTAACCTGGTGGCCCAGTACACACCATGCACTAAGCCCTGGATTTCAATCATCAGCATTTACCAAAAACTATTTTTTTAAAATGGTGGCACATGCCTGTAATTCCAGCACTCGCGAGGCTGAGGCAGGAGGATCGCTGTGAGTTCGAGACCAGCCTGGGCTACAAAGTGAGTTCCAGGGTGGTCTCAACTAACATAGTGAGACCCTGTGTCAAAAAAAACAAAAATAAAATAAAAAATAAAAAAATAATATAGGAAGTGGGAAGGGTAGGGGAAATGTAATAAGGGAAAAGAAAGAAATATGAGAAAATGAAAAAATGGAAATAAAGTATTTGTAAATAGGGAAGGAAGGAGGGGGTGAAAGGAGGGCAGGAGTATGGGGTAAAAATGAGAACCAAGACCTGTCATGTAAAGGTACAAGATCCCAATGATGAATGTAACTGCGCTATATACCTAAAAATGTACCAATAAACTCAATGAGAATAAATAAATAAATAAATGCACGAGGGAGTCTAAAAATACATTTTTTTCCACATGTAAAAATAAACTGAGGACCAAGGTGGGGCCACTGCCTGCCTTACAATCACAATGACCCAAGTTCGATCCCCCATAACAAATATTAATTAATTAATTAAAAAATAAAATGAATTCTGACAAAGTTTGAAAGAGAATTTTGAAAATTCTATTCTCCCCACAGAATAAACCCAAATTTCTGTGCAATTAGAAGTCATATATAATTTACAATCATCCACATTTCTGTAAAATGAATCTGGAAATAAATATTATAAACCAATATAATCAGCTTTGTAAATGGAATCTAGTAATTTCAGAGCTCAGGAGACGTATGATTAGTGCAAATAGTCACATAACACATCAAAGACGTGGACGTGGGACACTTACCCCCTTTGGCTCTGGCACAATCAAATGTGTGCATTTCTTATTGAGGTTCAGCTGGCAGCTGCCGCCATGGAACGTGACCAAAGCCCACAGGGCGCTTCTGTCTTCAGATGACACCTGACGGAAAGTCAAAAGAGGGGCTTTACTATGCACTCAGTGTGTGTCTGCATTCTACAGTACTTCATTATCATAACACAAGCTGATATCATGATAATTTTATCTAATTTTCTTCCCTATGAAATTAAATTAACCTAAGGACATTAGCAGAAAATTAAGAGAAGCATTTAGCTTTATTCCTATCATAACAGTTTTATAGATATAATTTTTTGACTTTTTACAAATTAATAAAAAAAAATTTACGCCCACATTCCGCAAACTTAATGGAAGATTATTTCAGTCTACAGCAAAAATAATTGGGGAAAAAAGGGAAGTAAAAACTAATACACCATTCCAGCTTCCACCTGTTATTTTAATACAGTAGCGATATCAAAAGAACTGCTTAAAACTAATGAATAACAAGTACTAATTATGACATGGATAAAATTAAAAGATAAAAATACTAGTTTGTAAGCACGGGGAAAATATAAATATTATTTAACACAAAATAAAGCAGGCATAAAGGGGTCATTTTTATGCTGTACAGGGACAAAACAGACTCCAGGTACAATAGCTGTGTTGTAAAACAGGCTTTCGCTGCATCAGTAAAAGCAGCGACCATTTATTGCCTGCCTACTATGTGCCAGGAACTGTGCCAAGTGTGCTGCATACACTCCAGCCCTTCCCACCCCCAATACTGCAGGAGACAGGAGCCACCACCCCCTTAGAGGTAAAGGAACAAACTACACTGCACCGAATCACTACAAAGGCTGGCTTTTAAAACATATGTCAGAATTTGAACTCAAGTCTAACTCCAAAATATTTTTCTCCTGTTCTATACTGTTTCTCTAGGGGTAGTTACTTCTAGATAAGTCAACAATGTCTAAAAGAATAAAATTTTAGAGTCTGAAAAACAAAAGAAACTTTAAGAAAAATAAAGGCATGAGCATTAATTCTAAGATAGTCCTATTTTTTGCCTGGACAATTTTATTATAAATTGAGGATCAAGGGTGTTGAAGAAGCCTAAAAATGTCTCCAGCTGATTTTTTTAAAGTACTGATGAATACCAATTAATTTCTTAACTGCCAGTAAGTGGCTTGCCAGTACTCTTAACATTCCACATTACTCTGATCCATTTGACAAATTTTTCTCAGAATTATTTTGTATTCCACAGTGCTCTGTGAGTAACAATTATGTATTAACTTTCTAAAATAACTTTTTAAGTCATTACTTTATATCTCTGCAATTTAATAATTCAATATCACATTTAAGAAGCATGGACCAGGTTATTTTTATTAGAGGCTTTCACAAAACAATGATATCCTGCCTGCAGTATTTGGAGAGTTAGGATATAATTAGTAAGACAGATTCATCCAATGAGTCACTCTATAATTCTTGTTTAGAATGAAATTTAAGACATGAGCTCCATATGCATTTTATTAGCAATGGCTGTGCCTGCTTTATTTACCAGCAGCAGTGACTAACCCTGCATGCTATTTGCCTGCATCCCAGGCCTGCACCCCAATTGGGTGCCCAGCTTGCTATGGTAAGAACATCACTCAGAGAGGAGTAGAGCAGCAGGAGGGGATGCCACACCAACCAGTTTGCACCACCCCAGAAACCTCCAGACCCAGATTGTGCAGCAACAAGCCTGGTCTGCAAGACTTGGGACATCCACAACAGCTCCTGTCATGCATCTCAGCAACATAATTAGCAATGTTCTTCCCACACCAAAATGTCAACAATAGTCACCTAGCACTGATACAATTAAGGGGAGATCTGTATGTTCATTTGTATTCTTTTGTTATTTCCCACATTTTCAAAAGCATCAATTTTATAATGGGAGAATAGTGTTTTCCCTTTTTAATGCCAACTTTCTAAAACACCAATCTTATTACATTGGTTACAATACTCTGCCATCTCCTCACCATGTTCAGCTGCAATCCCAGTACTGAAATCCCAGGACATGGTGCCAAGGCCTCCAGCCTGTCTGGCTCCTACTGCTGAGTGCTGCTCCCTCAGGCACCCTGAACCACAGCCGCATGGAGATGATGTTCCGTCAGACATGCTAATCTTGCATGCTTGCAGGCTCTGCTCAGCCCTTGGCTCCTCCTCTGAGATCTAGTTCAGGCATCATACCACTACACCCCCAGCAAGCATGCAGAACCCTGGATCCCCCAACCCTCTAGAACGGCCTCCCTTTACTGCACTCTACACATCAAGGAACAGGGGACCAGAATTCCTTCTACTGCCCCAAGAATAAAGGTTTCCTACAACCAATTAGAAGCACCCTCCTCCTCCTCCTGGTCTCACCAACCCCAGATCAGGCCTGGATTCTAGCTGACATGATTTTTTTCCTGGTCCCATCTTAATGATCAGGTACAACAAACTACTTATTAAAGACTAGGGTCCTGTGTAAGAATTATGTCCTAAACTCCCTGTTATCTTTCACAAAACCTAGTACAGTGCAAGGCACATGGGTAGGCAGTCAAAAAATATTTGTTGATTGAAATAGAGAACGGAAAGGATTTTCATTTTTAGGCTTCCACATTTTGAGTCATGACCAGGCCAAGCTCTCCATTAAACTCTCAACCTATTCCCCGAAACCTACCCAGCACATTACAACAGAGGCCCCAGCCTGCATCAATACCGGCTCAGAAGAAGGCAGATGGTGTCTGTGCTTCCCAACTTCTGCTGGCACAAGCTCCCTTCCCTACCTCTCCCTGGGAGAGCTCTGGAAGACTCCAACAAAGAGCTCCAGCATGTATCAACACCCTGACGGGAAAAGACAGAGGTCACTGTGAACCACCAAGCAAACAGTCTTTCAGTAAGGTGGGTCCTGCCTGGCGTGTGCACAGGGGTTTCAGGGTGCAGACCACTGCAACTTCTCCCTCCTGCTGTGTCTATTCCTGATGCCGACTCACGTCATTGCGCTTTTCAATGTAACCACATTTGTTCACACACCTGGCCTCATCTGGCCTGTGTGACTACTGAGGGAAACTGCATGGTAATGAACGTGTGCCACTTTGCTTAGTCCCTGTTGCAAAGGAAGTACTTTCAGAGGCTTGTTGAACCCAGGTCCCTTAGCTGACACTGTATACATATTCATTAATATGTCTAAAACCAAATTAACATTTTTAGCAACCACAAAGTATTAGTGCTCCCTGTGTACTTTTCTTACACTAACCATTTCCAGGGTTTCTTCGTGCAAACTACTATCAAATAAGCTCTTTCCCTATCCTTAAAGAACCTTTCTGAACTTTAAGAAGTACTTTTTAGGGCCGGGGATTCAGCTCAGTGGTTCTGCTGCCTGCCTCACAAGTGCAAGGTCCCAAGTTCAATCCCCTGTTACAGCCCCCCAAAAAAGTGCTTTTCATGCTACCCCATGACATACAGGGGATTTCAATTCATCACCATAAATGATGAGCTGTATGTAACAAGTCCAGTGAGTGACCCATAAAGATCAGTTGATTTTGAAGCCTGATTTTTCTTACCTATGAATCTGCTGTCAGAGATCTTGCTATTTTAAATTTCCACTGTCCACCACAGACCCATCCACTGCCTTGGCCAAGATTAGCACCAGATAAAACTCAACCTTTCTCTGAAAGTCAGTGAGCAGAACCTCTGCTGTTCATCAAGAGCAGGACCATCCCTAGGATACCCATGGAATCTTACTGCCCCACTAAGAAACTCTAGACATCTGTGCTTGCTGGCCACGCTTCCTTGCCCTTGCTTCTCTGTGGACTCACTGCTCCTGCCCACGTGGCCTATACTGGTGTCTTCTCTGCCAAGACCCAAGCCCTACTCAGACCCCTGCACATACACGTTGCTCAAGGAGCTAATCAACACTCCTGCCTCACTTTCATCATGTTTCTTCCCCGCTCCCGGGCCACTGACAGAATTGGGAACAGAAAACCACACACAACTCTGCTACAAATGTATGCTCTAAACCTTTGGCTCAGACATGCAACTTCCTAGCAAGAACAATAAAAACCACAGAGTCAAACTTCATTTTGACTTCTACAAATAATACGCCACTCTCCAGGCTCCTCTCCACTCATTTTCCAGGTCTCTATCCTGAATCTCCTCAGCATGCACATCACCTGGGGCTCTCCCAGTTGTCACCTGCTCTCGCCCTACCGTGCTGCAAGAATTCCCTTTAGCTGTGCATCCCCAAGTCCCTGCATCTGAACAGCCTAAATCCACCAGGAACTCCAAATTTCTGACCCACATTACCAACCAGGCTCTTCTATTTCCACCAGTGACACTGCCACCTCCTCAGGTGGGAGCTCCATCTGCAAGCCCAGCAGAGCTCTGGCTCCCAGTCCCCACAGTAAGGCAGGAACCAGGATGTGGCACAGCCTCTGTCCCGGAATCATGGTAGTTCTACACCATGGGACCTGTGAGTCACCTCTGCTGCTAGGTTCTGTGTTGTGTTAAGACAACCTGGTCCCAAATCTTCATCTCAAGTCCAGAAGACTATGACTCTACCCAGTGCCAAAATTCTGACTTCTACCCTAAACTCTGACACACTCACAGCTCCCAGGCCAGTTTTAGCACAATGATCAAAAATGACTTTGATCCTATACATCTATAATCTAAACATCTATACTCCAGAACTAAATGTTAAAAAAAAATTAAGCAGTTTCTTCACCAAGTCCAAAGCCATTCACCTGGTTCCACGGCTCTCTAGTCTCCGCCCACCCTGCCTCCCTGACCAGATCTTCCTTCTCCACCAGACACACAACCTTGCTTCTGAATCTGGCTCCTCATAGGTGGCCTCCTGACTATACCCAATCTCCCCTTCAACCCTACTCAGTGCGCAATGCTCTTGTCCCTTTGTACTCTGAATGTGCTATCTTCCAGGCCTGCAGTCAAGGCCCACCTCGCCTTGAGCCAGGCAGATGCCCTCCTTTCTAGCTCATGTGTACACCTATGCCCCCTCAGCACATCACACAGAATGTGTCACCATTAACAGGTTTTCTAAAGCACTAGTACAGCCTTTGATGAACATAACTATCTGTTCTTTCTGAAAGTGTTCCCAAGCTCTAAACCCAAATATATAATCATCTTACACTCACACACAATATATAATCATCTTATTCTCACACACATTTGGGTTTCTGATTTCCCCAAATTATGTTAAACTATGTCCTGTGACCCCAACTCTGACAAAGGCCCCCCAGGGATCCCCAGTGCAGACCAACTCAACACGGCTGCTTCCCTATGCCTTCTCACCGAATCAGAACCTTTTCTGAGCACTAGGCTCTGAGTATCGGGACCCCAGAAATCCAATCAATGCAAGAAGTAAATGAAAAGTATACACTGCAGCCAAAGTATACTCTGTTTATGCATAAATAGTGGTAACGTGTTTTCATTTGAAAAAATTTTCTGATATGCTGATTACATATTTGGGACATAGAGAGAAATATAAGGAAAACAATAAAATTATAGCACCTAGCATTTAAAGATCTTTTTTTTTTTTTTTTTGGTACAGGGATCAAACTCAGGTCCTTGCGCTGTAAGGTAGGCAGCGTGTGCACTGAGCTAAATCCCCAGCACTAAAGATCTTCACTTTGGACAACTTTAAAATCTTCATCATGTAAATATACGTTTATACCAGATTTTTTTTTTAAGTGAAAAATACAAATCCAAAATTCCTATTCAGAAGGAAAAAAGGAGGTAATTCGCTCTTTTCAGAATCTGCATCAATAGCCAGGCACGGTCGCACTGTAACCTCAGCACTCAGAAGGCCAAGGCAGGAGAATCACCATTGAGTTCGAGGCCAGTCTGAGCTACATAGCAAGACTCCAACTCAAAAAAAAAGAATCTGCATCAAATTGATGCAGAAGGAACAAAAAGAGAGGATTTGATAGTCTCAAAAAATTTCCGTAATTGATAAAAGAAATAAGAACACAGTAACCATGGCAAACCTCACTGGACAAAGGAGCAGTCATTCAGACTAGTAACATTTGTGTTAAAGGCCGAGTCTGGCTAGTAACTAACCACGGTAATTAAACATTACCTTGTTCCCTAGTCCTCTAGCACAAAAGTGCATGGATGGAGTGGGACCACAGTCAGATTCTGTCCCAGCTCCACTAGTTTCCAGGATGTCACAAGCACCAAAGGACAAGCCAGGACTGAGACCACAGGCGCAGGGGATGACTGCCCTTGTCCGAACACTTCTTCCTATCTGATGACACACATTCTAACCAGATAGACTATCCTGTATACTTCTGAAATGAGTTTAACAATCCCAACTTGATTGTTTTTGGTACTAGGTTTTGCTGGGGGTTAGGAGGACAAAATAAAATAAATAAGCATTAAATATGTACTTCTTCCACTACCCAGAATTAACACTATGAACATTCTGCCCCCTTTCAGATACTTCAACCCTATTTTCTAATGGTTGATGTAATATTGTACATACCTATGATGTAGCCTGCCTTTTTTCACTTGAAATCATCTCCCATGTCTTTATATATTTTCATAAACCACAACTGAAAAATGCCTAAGTATCTAACCCACTGTGTATAAGTATACACAGGTTTCTTCAACAACAGTGACCCGATTTTTTTTCCAATTACCCTCTTATAATGCTATGAACATCTTCATACATTAGTCTGACCTATGCTTTTTCTAGGGTCTAATGTAAGGGAGTGGAGGGTATACAATGAGTATTCTAAGTCACCCTTCTGCCAGCAACTGGCAAAACAGGTGGTCTCTCCCTCTTCAGCATCCCACCAACAGGATTCTTATGGATCTGATAAGTAAATACTCTTGTCTTACCGCCATTAAAGTCTGTCATGTCTTGGATTAGAAAGTGTTACCAAATGTTTTGTCGTGCTTATATACAATTCCTTTTTATAAGCTTGTAAATTCACTTTTCTGACTTGTCTGCCTAGGTTTTACTATTATTTTCTTACTGATCAGAACCAAAATTCAGATTTTAAAAAAATTTTGACTAGTTTTAACTAAATTTTCCTTATATTTTCATTTCAAATGTTTTCATATTCAAGTTTTAAGTCTTTGTAATTCCTTTAAATTATAAAAATCTCTTACACTCATTTAAAACTTTAATTCTTAAAAGTAACATGAACAGGTCCAGGGATTTAGCTCAGTGGTTCCACTGCCTGCCTCACAAGCTCAAGGTCCTAAATTCAATCCCTGGTACCAAAAAAAAAAAAAAAAGTAATGAGTACTTAATTGTGTCAGACATTCACAAAGAATATATGGTTGGATTGTATAAAACTGGTTAACAAATAGATCAATAACCCAATAACATAAATGAATGCTGTCATGTGTAAACAGAAGTAACTGTAACCATGCTTACCTGAGAAAGGCAGGCAGTGACTCCAAAAAAAATCTGACACGACTCTGGAGAAAAACCATTTACTCTGTTTTATAGTCATTAAGATCACAATGAATACAGAGCAGCCTGAACTTCACTAACAGATAGGACCCACAGCCCACTGGACAGTGCCTACCTCTACCTCCCACTCAGTCCTTCTAGCAAAGAGAGACACTAAAAATGACCAAAGGAGAGTGCAGAGTGGACTGGAATAAACACAGCTTCACACAACAGAAGAAATTTGAGCAATCTTCAGTGAATTACATTCTAAAATCCAGTCTCTCCACTTACATCATAAATAAAATGGGCACAGGACACTCAAGGGGGAAACATTTGGACCTCAGAAGTAGTGCACCATACATTCAGACACACACATTCACACACGGGCATTGCAACTGCTCTAAAAGCAAACAATATCTAACTTTTTTTTGAATGAAACCCTGATGGCATCACCTGCACAGCACAGTATAAAACTCACTACCTAAGAGCCCAAGTGCTGGCTCCATTCTCACCACCATCCTTGTGATGTCAGAAGAGACAGCTCACAGCCCAGACTGCCCTTCACACACAGGAATTAGAAACAATCCCCAGACCCTTCCAGTTGACCCTCTTAGGTGAGCTGCTGAGCTCATCACACCAGCAACATGGACAGCACAGCCACACAGAAGGCAGACAGGACCTATCTCCCTGCTCCTGCCCTTTAGAATCCATTCCAGCAAACACAATGACTGTCCTGGAGCAATGTAGAGTAGCCAGAATTCAAAACAGTTAAAACGATATTTCTCTTTCCCTACAGGAAGCCACACCTCCTGAGACAGGTGAATTCAGAACAGCATAGAGCCAAGTTGTGTTGTGATTTTTAAAAAGTTTCCTACTTGAGTAGTCAGACAAATCTTCTAAATATCTATCTTCTCCGACTATCATAAACTCTGAAGACCCCAATATGATACCTGCAGTCCCCTTCTCCAAAATCTGTTTTCCCTTCCTGAATCAGATTAGGGGTTTCTACTTCCACAGACCTAACCTCAGGGTGCTCTGCTGGCCCCTCCTGGCCCCCCAGGCCTCTGATGGCCATAAGGCCACTGCTTCTGAGGGAGGCTTGGTGTGGAAAGTAAACAGTCCAGAATAGGAAAATAAGCCACTTATGTTCAAAAATACCCAATCTCCTCCCTGTCCTCCCCCGCCACCCAAGCTTATAAAAAAATAAAATAAAATAAAAATTATCACTACGAGGAGCTGATGACTTTCAACTCTTCAGACTATGAGTGACTATTACACAGTTCCTGAGCTAGGTTTGCTAAGGTTTTCTCTCCTCCAAGAAGTGCTTTTAAAAAGGTGTGTCCGAGCCAGAGATTTAGCTCAATGGCACTGCACCTGCCTCACAAGCACATGGTCCTAAGTTTGATCCCTAGTACTGTAAAAACACAAACAAAAGGGTGTATTCTGAGTTCTTCTATAAAAATTTCATCATAATAAAATTCCTTCTGTTTGCCCTGATTCAATAGGTAGCTAAGTGCTTTTAAAGGCACTGCCTGGCACAGTTATAAAATAAAATAGGATGAATGACATAATCTCTTGCCCAAGTCTAAAATCTCAACACCATAACTGCATATCAGTTATTCTTAAAAGGAGCAACATCCACACTCAGGCTCTGCTCCGAGTGTATCTCCAATGAGGCTTCATCCTTTCAGAGTGAAACAGAAGCCAGCAGGCCTAGAAAAGTAATCAGCAGGCTGCAGAATAGCTTGTTCCTGACATAGAGCCTGGAGCAGCACCACATGCATGCACTGCATGCATGCACCACATGCAGAAATGCTACCTGACAAACACGCATGTGAGCATATCAAGAAATCCCTCCAGAACAGGAAGGATGAGACCTTCATCACCATTCTAGTGTCAGGGCTGATCCCACGGCCAGGGCTGAACGGACATACAAATTTAATCAACCTTCCATACTTCCATCCAGTATAATCAACAAGAAAACAATGCACGCCACAAAACTAAACATTTTCCTCTCATATTCTCCAGTGTGCTCTTCAAATGTTCACAATTTGGTTTCTATAGACTTAGAAGTCTAGAAATATTTTGTCTAACTAGATTCCACAAAGGTTGAAAAGAACTAGAACTCATGCCTCCTGGTCCTGGCTAGAGCTGCTGGTCACAGCTGTGACCCTCTTGACACGGGTAATGACAAGGATCCGGTACATAATGCCTGATACAGGACAGAGAATGTAGGGATAGAGAGTGCAGAGTAGACAGCTGTGTCTAACTTCTACATCCATGTTTCACTCGGTGATTGTCACTTCAGTCTTAAACTCAAGAGTTACCCTTTCCCTCTGCCCATATGTCAGAAAAGGATACGGAAGAAGAGTTCCACACTGCACGGACAAGATCACCCAGGAAGGCTGGAAAAGAAAAACATTAAATCAAAAAGTGTTCCAGACATAAGCATAAGCATTCAGATAGTACCAATACACAAAGATCAGTTATCACCGCGCATGTTGAAAATCCCAAATTCTACAGTGGAATCTATCATATTTTTTACAATTATCATGCACAGACATTTTTTAAAATGTAGGTTAACACACTTACTACTGCTGACCTCCTGCCGAGGTGGGACTGCTGCCCATCCCACCAGCCACCAGAGGCACAGCTGGGGTACAATCAGCCCCAACACACACCTTCCAGAGTCCTGAGTTAAACCAAGCCCAAGTTTACATCATTTGATTCAGTAAAGTCAAGGAGATACAGTGGTTACAAAATACAAAACTTATTTCTAACTGCTTAGTAATCCTATGAATTCCAAAACTCACATTAATTATAAAACAGGTTAATTACAACCTTTTTTGGTACTTTGTAGTCTTAGAAAATTATCATTTTTTATTTCTATATTTAATTTTTTAAATGACACAAATCATTACCTTAATAGGTCTATTTGTAAAAGTTACAGTCTAAAAATACTGTGTAATAATAGCCCTTTTAGCCAGTTAACCTCCAGAACTTCTGTCAAATAAAACACATACACACACACACACTTGTGACCCAGCCACTGGGCACAATCATCAAATATTTATGTTGAATGTGTCATGCAGAACTGGTGCAAAGTGCAAAATAACAAGAAAAGTCCATCTCTTTCATGCAATTTACATTCCAGTTAATGATCTCCAAACTATTTTTATCAAATATGCCTTACACGAGTTTCGGGCAACAGAGGACCCCTACTTCACTGTTTAGGTGACAACTACTACATTTCAGCACAAGAAAGAGGCTTATGTCCTATAACAGCATAGGCATGTCAAATATTTTACAAAATAAAACAGACTGGTTGCACTTGCAATAATTTTTTGATCATTTTGTAATGTTACCACAGGTTCTAACTAACATATAGTATAAGGTGCAGCAAATCCAAAAGAAAGCTTCTCAATGTTCCTAGCCATTTTCTTTGTCCACTGTATCCTCCCAATTTTTGATAATTCTGGAGACATTCTAGTTAAATTTAAGTACTGGGCCAGCACCACTAACCTGTGCAGCTTTGGATTCTCTGAATTCAGAACATCCTCATATGGGCCAGGCTTTGCTCTAGCTAGCAACACCGAGGACCCATGGAGTCTGTGACCATGACTGAGCTCTAAGGGAGGAGGCCCTATAACTGTCCTTGCCTGCAACCCAGGAAGGCTTCAGCACTGGGGTCAGGCATTGCAGGAAGGTGAACTGGGGAAAAGCAGGGCTCCTTCTGCTTAGTGGGAAGGGGCAATGGTGAGCACAGGTGTGCACCGCGGCCACTTTAGGACAGAGCAATCTGGAAACTTATACCTGCATCACACCCTGGAGAGCTTTCCTGGGGCTGTAGCAACCTTTGCCAGTGTAAAAAATCTGCTGTTGTGTAGCTACTGTGAGTCCCAGCAAGGACAACTACCCTGAGGCCCTCTGTTAGGTGTGTCCAGGCAGAATAATGCAGAGTTAAGAAGTAGGACACATTGATAAAGCAAAAAGAGAAGAATAAAAGCAAAGTAATAAAAAGCAATTTAGAGCCAAGGCTGGTGGTGCACACCTATAATCCCACCACTTGGGAGACTGAGGCAGGAGGCTGCCTTGAGTTCAAGGCCAGCCTGAATTACAAAAGAAGACCCTATCTCAAAAAATAAAAAAACAAAAGGAGCAGTATACAAAATAAGCCCACTACTAATCAGTATTATCAAAATAGTATTTCCAATGATGTTAAAGCCATTGAGGAAAAAATGTTTGTTAAAAATTTAGAGCCAAGTGTGGTAGCACACACCTGATTCCAGTAGTTGGAAGGCAAGGATTGCTTTGATTTCAAGGCCAGCATGGCCTACATAGTAGGTTTAAGGTCAGCCACAACTGCACAGAGTGACCCCGTCTCAAAACCAAAAAAAAAAAAAAAAGTTTTGTGTTATGAATGTATACTAACTCATGATGAATGTAATCATGTACTGCAAAGGCACATTAATACAAATTTTAAAATTATTTTAGAAATTTTGGTGCCTACAAAATTGAGCTTTAAACATCTATAAAATTCAAATATGTAAATGACAGACTGTCAATTTGTGTAATAATGCCTTCTTTGTAAAATGCAATGTCAGACTGTATCAGGGAAAGGGCCAAGGACTACACCCTGAAAAAGCCAGGCCTCAGCCTCAGCCTGCAGAATTCAGACTCTACCACCAGCAGCAAGAGCCCAGGAAGACAGGCCTAGGAAAGAGAGGTCTCCCAGAACTGCTCAGAATTGCCAGCTGCAGGACCGGCTCTGAAAAGCCCTGTTACCCTCAAAACCAAGTGGGCTGGAGACTGAGACAGAGATGAAATATGCATGTGGATGTGACTGGCAGAAGGGTACCCCTGCAGAAGCTAAGTGACCACTGTAGCACTGCCTGGGCACCACCTGGGCACTGCTGTGTAGCCTGACTGGTAAAGTGACTTCCCCAGAATGCAGTACTGTGTACACTGTAAGAGCCAAAGGCTCTGGGCAGCTCACAGCTCCACCAAGGACTGATGGCCATGCTGCAATGT